TTCAAATATTACAACCTTTTATAGATGTAAGTAACACAGGATTTACCCTTCCAGATTGGGTGCACTAAATTCAATATCCTGCCTCTGACAGAGAACAGGTTTTTTAAGTGAGAAAAAAAAACTAGTGTTTAGCGCTTACGGAAACTGAAATGTTTGTTGAAACATGTTTTCAGTTGTTTACAGTGTATGCCATAGGTAGTCAATTATTTTTTGTCATGGTCCGGACTCCAGACGGTCAAGGATCGGACTCCGGAGAAAATAATTAAATAAAAAGATTCCAGGGTCAGTTCAAAAGTATCTTGATGTCTGGATCGTGTATCTGTGCCCAAAGAAAACTGTCCAGATTGCTGCCTGCAGGAGTTAATGATTTACTCTGCTGCTGCAGTTTCATTATTAAGGTTGTTCCATGATTCTAGAGATCTCAAGCCAGCAGATTAGTTTTTAAAAAAAGAACTAGAGTTCATGATATGTAGTTTTGTTTATCTTGAATTCACATAGTCTGCGCAGCTGGGGTTTCCCCCTAGTAGTTTTATGCTTTTGGTGGGGGAGGAAGGGGATTAGCCACCAGAATCCACCTCAACTCAAAACTCACATTGTAATCTGTTTCACTACAGTATGAAAGTCCTGTTACAGGTGTCACTTAAGGTCTTTATGCTATGGAAAAAGGCATTATTTCAGAGTAGCGTAGCTAAACATTGCCAGAATACTATGACCTTGCAATGGTTCAGCATGCCATAACCATAAACCCAGTCTGTGTGCAAATGAAGGCACTGCACACACAATACTTGCCACAACACAACCTGTGCAAGTTGGTGTCTGTCCTATAACTTCTGTACAGCTCTCTGGAGCTGGTGGATAATTGGCAGTATGTTATTTGGATCTGTTAACATTTGTTTTCCACCGTGCAAGAGCTGTGTATGCAGATACTATGGCTTGAGCATAGCAGGAAGTACCCTGCACCTTCTGCCAGACAGACTGTGGTCCATCGGCATATCCCCAAGTGGTGTGGTGCTTACTGGTAGAACAGTGCTCCAAGGAGATGAGGAATTTGGTTTGATTTTTGTCTAAATATTTCAGGTGTTTGTCTGTCTTATTGTACTTCTGGTTGTGGGTTAGAGCCTGCAACCCACAGTCACTTCAATGGCTGACTAGAGCCTGCAGCCTAAGGCCCTGTTTTACAGCTGAATTAACAGCTTCTTTAACGTTTCCTCCTACATCCAGACAGGGGAGTGGTCCAGACCAGAGTTGAGAGAAGAGCTCCTGCTAGAGGAATTCATTCCAGGTCCTCCAAATCCCTCCCCCTGTAATAGCATCCCAGGGGCACATCCAGTACAAGCCCTTTGTTAGAGGATTGAGGAGAGAGAAGAGAGCTATGTGAGAGAACAGCAGTACCTGGATCATGGGACATCAAACAGCAAGGTTTATTTTAAGCAGGTGTTTAATGTGCATTTGTTAACTCTCCTGTTTCTCAGGAGATGAGAACAGCACAGTTCCCGGTTAGGTTTGATGTTTTCTGACATGTATGTTAGAATCAATACAAGCATACATGAAGTTATGAGTCTAACTCTCCCCCACCTTTTTTGGGGGGGGGTGGGCTGGGGTGGGGGAGGAGAACACAAGAAGGACAGCAGGGAACAGCAACGGTAGAGCCAAGAGTAGACCAACGTCGACTGCCTTCGGACCCAATTAGAACCGGGAGTGGGAGGGAGAGACCAGCTGCACCGGTGCAGCTGCAACACCTGTTCCAGTCATAGAATCATAGAATATCAGGGTTGGAAGGGACCCCTGAAGGTCATCTAGTCCAACCCCCTGCTCGAAGCAGGACCAATTCCCAGTTAAATCATCCCAGCCAGGGCTTTGTCAAGCCTGACCTTAAAAACCTCTAAAGGAAGGAGATTCTACCACCTCCCTAGGTAACGCATTCCAGTGTTTCACCACCCTCTTAGTGAAAAAGTTTTTCCTAATATCCAATCTAAACCTCCCCCACTGCAACCTGAGACCATTACTCCTCGTTCTGTCATCTGCTACCATTGAGAACAGTCTAGAGCCATCCTCTTTGGAACCCCCTTTCAGGTAGTTGAAAGGAGCTATCAAATCCCCCCTCATTCTTCTCTTCTGCAGGCTAAACAATCCCAGCTCCCTCAGCCTCTCCTCATAAGTCATGTGTTCTACACCCCTAATCATTTTTGTTGCCCTCCGCTGGACCCTCTCCAATTTATCCACATCTTTCTTGTAGCGTGGGGCCCAAAACTGGACACTGTACTCCAGATGAGGCCTCACCAATGTCGAATAGAGGGGAACGATCACGTCCCTCGATCTGCTCGCTATGCCCCTACTTATACATCCCAAAATGCCATTGGCCTTCTTGCCAACAAGGGCACACTGCTGACTCATATCCAGCTTCTCGCCCACTGTCACCCCTAGGTCCTTTTCTGCAGAACTGCTGCCTAGCCATTCGGTCCCTAGTCTGTAGCGGTGCATTGGATTCTTCCATCCTAAGTGCAGGACCCTGCACTTATCCTTATTGAACCTCATCAGATTTCTTTTGGCCCAATCCTCCAATTTGTCTAGGTCCTTCTGTATCCTATCCCTCCCCTCCAGCGTATCTACCACTCCTCCCAGTTTAGTATCATCCACAAATTTGCGGAGAGTGCAATCTACACCATCCTCCAGATCATTTATGAAGATATTGAACAAAACCGGCCCCAGGACCGACCCTTGGGGCACTCCACTTGATACCGGCTGCCAACTAGACATGGAGCCATTGATCACTACACGTTCACTGGCGTTACAGTGAATGCAGGGGGCCAGTGCAGGTGCAAGCTTTGTACAGACACAGAAGTAGTTTGCAGTCATTGCAGCTGCAGCAACATTTTTTCCTCTCTGCTGTAGATGAACCTAAAGAGTCAGAGGAAGTTTGAAAAAACCCCACTCTGAAAGATTCCCTTTATTCCAGGAGGACAAGAGAATTTGCTGCAGCACCCAGCCTGGTCAGGCTTCCCTCCTGAGGAAGGATGAGTAACTGTGAAATCCTAAGTGGTATACTGATGCGAATAGGTATTTGGTCTTCCAAACTCAATTGGAAGTGATGCAGCATATATTAAATGTGAACAGAATATTGAATGTAGGGTTTTTTATGCTATACTTTTCACAGTTGTGTTAGATAAAGATACCAATAATTAGCAGTCTATATTAGACTTCCACCATGAGTTAACTGATAGCCAATTTGCTCTCAGTAGTTAACAGGTTTGTAAAGGCTAGCGTAAATACTCTCCAAAAAAGTGTTTTACCCTAAGGTAACCAAACTATTAGCCAAAAGGTAAAAAAGCAGAAAGGGCTACATCATATTCCATATAGAGCTAAAGAAATGTAGTCTTGCCACAGAGGCAGGGCAGAATTCATGCGGAATAGCAACATGCAGCGCAAGTTTTACAAAGGATTCCATTTTTAATTTTGACTCGTGATTTTCAAGCATGTTAGTGTAATAAATGTTTCAGATCAGTTATGGGGGAAAATATTTACGTAGATTCTTAGCTCTCAAGTTCACTATAAAGACAAGGTCAAAGTCTCCTACAATGTCTCACTCAACATTTCCAGCTTAAATAAAACAAGAAAAAGGCCATTTAGCAGCTGCCTGTGTGGTTTGACAAGTCATTGTGAAGTTACATCAAGTTCCATTTGGTATCAGAAACTTAAAAAGTTTCGACTCAAGAGTTTAAACCAGGATTCTCTCTCTAAAAGAGCAGAAAAATAATGAAAAATGTTTGACCGGTTGATAGCCCACAATAACATTGTTTCTTTGGGATGGGGTGGGGGGAATACCCTCAGACTCAGGGCTGATAGTGAACTCAACAGAAACGTCTCCTCAGAAAAAAACAGATAACAGAAGAGGTGCAGACCAAACTGGTTCAGTGAACCATCTTCACATTCTAATCTAAACAAAACAATCTGATGCACCTTCAGCCTTCATACAGAAATTGTGCATGCCTTCCCACACAGAACATATTTGCAGTTCACTTCCCGTGTAAGTGCTCTTTTCAAGATGGCTGTTTAGAAAGGGCCATCTGACCAACCTAGAAATGAACTGAATTTTAATACCCTTAATTATTTTTCTTCCACTTGATGAAAATGCAGATTGCCACGCCCAAGCCTGAATGCCAAAGATTGTCTGTTTCTTATGCATTACCGATTGTGGAATAAGAAAAGGAGGACTTGTGGCACAAATAAATTTGTTAGTCTTTAAGGTGCCACAAGTCCTCCTTTTCTTTTTGCGGATACTCTTGTCCAGGCTGCTACTCTGAAACAGACTGTGGAATGTTTCAGCTGCAAATATGATATATGTTCTAGGATCAAAGGGAAGGAGTGCTACTACACTTGTTACATTTTCATTAAAAATTAGGCTGTCCATACTACCTGGTACTACGTTATTCATTGCCAATGAAGGGTAGAAAAGCTGAGCAAAGGAGAAAAAAAATAAAAATACAATTATGCTCAGCTTGTGATCCACAACACAACCAAGGCTATTTCAACTACAGACATGCCTCCAAGGTACTAAGCAAAAGCACAAAAAATGTATGGTATAAATATCATGTTTGGCATACCAAAGTCTCACCAAATGAATAAAAGAGTAGTTTGAAATACACGTACAAATCAGTATAAAGATAATGCAATGAAGCATTCAGATAGGTTTTAAAAGTGGTACTAAGCTTTGTGGTTTTATGGTTGGCAGTGGACTCTTTTACATGCTTAAGCAGAATTGGTCACGACACCCATCTCTGAATCTACTGATCATTTAAAAATAATTATATGTGACCTGGTAGGAAAAAAATATAGCTGACAGTAGTTAAAATGAAAATAGCTACTGGAAAAGTGTGCATCTTTAGTACCAGAAACAGCCATAATCCCATCAAAATATGGGCATATAGCTTAGCTGAAAAAAATGCTAGTTGCCTCTCTAGCAAGGTAACTTTTCTACAATTTTATGCATTGTGTCTTTTCAGGGTACATCTATGCAGCATTTTACAGCAAGCCTCCAAGCCCAGTGTGACACTGTATGGAATATAGGTGACCATTTATAATATTATTGCTATCAGTATTACAAAATTGCAATGAATCATACAAGATATGCCATGTAAGGCATCACTGGAAAAGTTATGATTGGCTAAATAGGATATTCATAACTCAATACATATAAACCTGATTATGTGTGGTATATTTGTATATCAAACTTGTGCTGTGTTTCTGGGGGACGCTCCCAGACAGATTGACATCAGCAGTATCTAGCCTGCTTAATGGCCCATGAAGGACAATCAGCTGTACAATGAGCTCATTGAAAAAAGGCAGGGGTTACACCTATGCGTCAGCAGGACAACATGTAGGAACATGTCTGTAGACATGGACTCCAAATGCTTTTCCATGCCCATGTGAGCTTGTGTTTGGGACAATGTATAAGCCACATGGCAAGGATATAAAAAACAAGCAGCTGCATCTTCTCCATTGTGTGTTCTATCCTGCTTCTCACCTCTAGAGTAACTTCTCTACAAACTGAAGCTTTAACAAAGGACTGACAGACCCATCCATGTGGATGTGTTTCAAAGAGCCAGCAAACTTACCAGTGCTGCTACGAACTCTGATGTCATATGTACGTATTTGACTGCTTTGCAGGGTGGATAAAAATCAATGATTTAAAAAAAATAAAAATGTAAATTGGATTTTTTTTAGATAAAATGCTTTGAGGAAAAAACTGATCAAAAGATGGTTTTAATTAAGATACATTATAGCTCAAAGATATCTCATCATGAAATAGGGATTATAAATTCTAATTCTATAGTAAGAGAGAATATATTTATGTAATGTTTAAGAAAGAACACATTTACAAAACCTAATAGTTCATGAATTAGGTATCCAAATCTTATGGGATTCCAGGGGCTTCTGTATAGATTTAGGTTAATCTATCTACCAAATGGGACTCAGTGCTCAGTCTAGAAGATACCATCAGAGGTGCTTGGTTTTGCAGTTCTCAAACTGTGGATTTGTGTCTTCAGATATCATAGATAACATCAAAAATGTTTTTAAAATAAATATATAGAGGTGAGAAATAAGAGACCTCACCCTATTGTCCTCTGCAAATTTGTGTACACAGAGTCAATCCCTTATCTCTCTCTAAAAGTGCAAAGTTTCCAAAAGTTCAATGAACAGAAGATTGTTGGGGGTGGAATAGATCTGGACAAGGAGAAGTAGTCTGGCGATAAATGTGAGAAGGGAAGGACAGGCAGTAGAAACAGAAGTGAAACTGTTTGAGCAGCATTTTCCAGAAGTCCTGAGGTCTTTCTGAGTGTAGCCTTTATTGATTTGAGATCTACCATACGATTCGTTCGCTAGAAGGGAAAACCTATAATGGCAGCAGGCTGTAAAAGAGACCCAGTTTGGGAATAAGAACCATTCAAGAAATATGTGTTTGCTGATGATGTTTTAAAGAAAGGCAACACCAGTGAACTGGTGGAAGTCACTTAAGCACTTGGATTTAGAGACTGTTGAAGTGATAATCTCACTCTTAACTGCAGTAGCTTTTTCTGCCGGTGTAGAAAGAATATTTTCTTCCTTTGGACTAATTCATTCCAAATTGAGAAATCATGTGGGATCTGAAAAAGCAGGAAAGCTTGCTTTTCTTTTCCAAATTATGAACAAACAAGAAAATGAAGGTGAAGACGACTGAGTTAGCTGCAGAAGCCAATATTTTAAGTTTCTCGTGTTGATGTGGCTGACATAGTCGAGTTAATTGGGGGGGGGCGTGTTAATATTTCATTTTTTTTAGTTAAAACAATTTTTACAGAAACAAACCTGATTTTAAAAAACCTGAATGTTTAACTAAATTCAAAAATTCATATGCTTGCTTTATTAAATTATATGTTTGCTGTTGAAGAAAAAAAATCCACGATACATAACATTGTTTTAGTTAAATAAAAATTTAAATGTCTGTCTGATGATGTTCTCCTCCTCATATAGGATGGCAAGAAAATCCTCCAAATATTAATGATTAACCTGTTGAATTGGAGATAGTTCACCTCCCAATGACTTCATAAATATCTGCTCCAATTACCTCTGATAAATGAAATAACCAATCATTCATTTTCTGATATAGCTGTCAAACTCATCTAAAAAGTTGTCAAAATAAATCACTTAAAAAATTTATAGTGTGTATACCTTCTAAAAATTAGACCTACATCTGAGTTGTGAAGAATGTGTATTAAGGTTATAACAACCAACAAGAATGCACTTTTATGTAGAAATCCATGATTAAATCGAGTCTTCCTGACTAGTGATTTAAATCAAATCCACCCTGTTGTTTTGACCATTTAACAACTCTTCTCTTTGTTTTATAATAAAACCTTTAATTTTAGATACCAAAGCATTGGCTGGCAGCATATTTTGGGTAAGATCCAGATTAGTACTGATCTGGTAATGTGGATGGCCCTTTGGGGATAAGAAGAACATTTTGTGTAGTAAGTAGAGTTTTAAATAACTCCTCACCTTACTGGACATCTATTATGATGTTGTGAAGGCCAAGACTATAACAGGGTTCAAAAAAGAACTAGATAAATTCATGGAGGATAGGTCCATCAATGGCTATTAGCCAGGATGGGAAGGGATGTGTCCCTAGCCTCTGTTTGCCAGAAGCTGGGAATGGGTGACAGGGGATGGATCATTTGATGATTACCTGTTCTGTTCATTCCCTCTGGGGCACCTGGCATTGGCCACTGTTGGAAGACTGGATATTGAGCTAGATGGACCTCTGGTCTGACCCTGTACAGCCAGTCTTTGGTGTTACTTGCTGATTGGGAGCCAGATAACTGGAATGCAATAAAGGGGGCTGTGTGATTTATTTTGCTTTGTTTCTTGATAATACAGCGTGGGGGGTCAGGAGCAATTTGTGGCTGGTTGGTGACTAGCTACAGTGTTAACCACCAGTTTTGGCAGAATCTGCTCTCCTTTTAGCAGCATGCCCTGACCTTGGCATTTTCATTGTGGGCTACCTGAGGCATCTCGGGTCATACCTGGGTCGAGAGATCAGGCTAGTGCTCTAAAACCAGCCACAGACAGTACTTTCAAGTTGCAGCTTGGGCTGGGGCTGAGGCTCTTAAGCCCAACCCTACCCCTAAGCTTCAGAGCAAGAGTCGTAGTGTAAAGCTCTAGAGCAAGCCCCATTAACACTGGTCTGTTGACCTGGGTTGGATGGCTTACTCCAACATGCCAGGTAGACATGCCCTCAGTGGTTTAGTTTCAGCTCCTGGCATTAGCATCTCAATCAAAACAGTTTTTACCAAGTTAGCTCACCAGCAGACCATGTAGTGCTACTTGTAACCAATGCCATGCATCCCATGAAAATTTAGTAAGGCCATTTGGTCAAAGGCCAAACCCTTAACTCCACAACTCACATGGCTTTGAACAGAAATCTAGGAAGCACATCTCAGTTGGACGAGGAGGATTACAGGATCCACTTAGCATTTGCACTTTATTACACCTTCAAGAGTTTTCACTGTGCATTGTCCCAGAACCCTGTTTCTTCAGAAGCCCAGAAAAACTACAGAAGTCCACTCTGAATGGCTCATCAAGATTTGATATATTAGGGGACATTGTAAACTATACAGGATCTGTATGTCAAGAACAGCATGCTTCAACAAGCCACCAGTGAAGATAAGATTAGCAACAGTACAAAGTTGATCTGAAACATTCACATACAAGCTCCCCGCAACTTAAGTTTTCAAAAAAACCCAAAGCTGCAAGGTTCAGATATGGGTTTTCAAACACCAGACTTCTACAGTGTTGGTATCCAGCCCCTCTGTACAGTTATGAACCTATGATAATAGCTTTCTAGCCTAACAAACTGGATACCATCAGATTAGGCCTGAATAGAGACTGGGAGTGGTTGGGTCATTACAAAACCTAAACTTAATTTCCCCAATACTAACTCTTCCCTACTGTTACTCACACCTTCTTGTCAACTGTCTGTAATGGGCCACTCTCTTAACACCTCAAAAGTTATTTTTCCTCCCTTGGTGTCCTGCTGCTAATTGATTTCTCGTTAGACTGACCTCACACTTGGTAAAGCAACCCCCATCCTTTCATGTATTTATACCTGCTCCTGTATTTTCACTCCATGCATCTGATGAAGTGGGTTCTAACCCATGAAAACTTATGCCCAAATAAATTTATTAGTCTCTAAGGTGCCACAAGGACTCCTTGTTATTTTTCCTGATTCAGACTAACACGATTACCACTCTGAATCCCTGTCTTGTCCCCCAGTATGACCAATGCACATTATAAAGAAAAACAAATAGATTAATGACATCGTTCTTGCATCTATTGTGTCTGAAAAGTATTTACTGGCTTTTTAATCTGGATTATGCACATCTCCTCAATTGCCCTCGTGAGTTAGTGCTTTCCAGCAAGTAACTGGTAGATTACCATGTTTAATCAGTACATCCAATGCAAGAACTGAGAGCCAATACATCACTGGCAAGGTTCAAAGTTGCACCTTAGACTGGAATTAGGTGAAAGGAGCACCTACAACATGCATCAGGAAAGCCAAAATTAGGCTACATTGTCCTCACAAACCCATTCCTTTCACTGCTTCCCCAAATCCAATAGAGGATCCTTTACTTAGTGATACTGATTTCAGTTTTACTCTCCCTGCAAGTTTTCCCTCCACATTTCAGCAGTAGCAACTACATTTGAGGGATGGAAGTTTAGTTCTATTCCCACTGCACCCTCCCCTATTTCTGCTGAACATACTCAGCAGGGAGCTAATGTTGTCATTTAAAATAGTCACATTAGACAACAAGCCCCTAAAATGAATGGGAAAGTTCACTACACCTGAGAGCTACTGTTTCATCAGTCTGCAGAATCAGCCAGATATCAATGCATTGGTGATGCTCTGAATGTGTTACAAACACAACATTGACTATATGTGTCCTATCTACACTGACCATTAAAGTTGTCAACACCATGTCACTTAACTTAATGGTTCACAGCCATATTCAGGCAGTAGAACTTTGTAGTGCAGTCAAGTTCTCTATTTGATTTTAAGACAACTAAGGGCCAAACAACATAAAAGGCTGTAATCTGACGGTGTATGACCAAAGAATTTCTCTCATGCAGGGGAGCTCTGCTGGGTATTGCTACATCGCTTCCAAGTTTGCGCCTCGGCCTCTCACTTCCTGGCCCAGGGAACACAAAGGAGATGGGAGAGGGTATCAGGGGTTCCACCTGGTATGCCTAGCCTCCAGGGACAGGGTCCATTGAGGACTCACCCCCCACTCAGCCTTAGGAAAGAAGCTTGCCCTTAAACTGTAGTGTACGTTTATCTGGCAAATCCAAGAACACCACACAAGGTTGAGCATCTTTCCAAGAAACCTGAACCCGAACAAGTTTAAAGTTTCAACATTAAAATAGAACACAGCAGAGGGAAGCAAGATCAGAGCAAGAGAGGTTTTCAGTGCGGAGCAGGAAGAGAGCCCCGCATCCAGCCCAAACTCCTCTGGCCTGACGCCACAAGCCCCTCTCCAGCCCCCACGGCAGCGCCGGAGGGCGGATTTGCTCGCTCAGGGCTCCACGGGGGCTGAAGGAAACGGGACGGGTTTGGACAAGGCGCTGACCGCCCCCCCCGAGGCAGGCTGCGCTACTCGCTGCCTGCACCGCCGCTTGTCACAGCCCGGCCCCGCTCTGGGCAGCCGCTGGCGAGGACACAGCGCCGCGGCCCGACGCGTCCACCTGTCACAGGCCAGCCCCAGGCCGCGGCCCCAGCGCGGGGCGGGCCCGGAGCCCCTGCCTAGCCACCAGCTGCCCGCGCCGGGCTGCGCAGCCGGGAAAGCCGGGGCAAGGCCCCGCCGGCGAACCGCGACCGCCTCCGCCACGGACCGAAGATCGGGGCCGGGGCCGGGGCCGGGGCCGACGCCTCTTACCGAGCAGCACAGCGGCCAGGGGCAGCCCGCAGCCGATCCGCGCCATGAGGGAGCCGCGTCGGGCAGGAGAGACTCCGCACTACAGCTACTACTGCTACCGGGCACGAGAGACACCCCCTCCGCCCGCCGAACTTCGCCCGGTCATATGACTGCTGACGCAACCGCTCATGGCGTCACGTGATTCGGCCGCCAAAGAGAGGGGGCGGGGAGACTATCGCGAGAGGATACGAGATGACGGGGAAGAGGCCCTCCTCCCCTCCCCCCTTCGGTCTTGGCCGGCTTCCTAGGCTGGCCAGGGACCTCCGCAGAGGCGGGGCGGGCGTTGCTGGAAGGGTGGGACCGACACATCCAGCGTCCCCCGCCCGCCAGCGAAGTTCCGCCCGGGCCCCTGCAGCCCTTGCCGCGGCCGGACTAAAACCGCCCCGGGCTCGCAGCTCCGGTCGCAGGTGGCTAGAACATAACCCAGCCCAGCCGGCTTCTCGGGGCCGGGAGTGAGGCCGGGGGCGCCCTCAGGGAGCAGTTCAGCTCCTTGGTGGAGTCAGGCCGTGGAAACAATAGGGGGCCCCGGCCGGGCTGGGCCGCGCCCGCGCGGGGCGGGTTATACATGCCTCGGAGCAGCGGGGAGCGAAGACGTCGGTTAGAAAAGCACGTGCGCGAGGCGGAGCGACCGCGAGGCGAGAGCGCGTTGGGAGGCGCGCTGGCTGGAGGGGCGCCAGGGGCATTTGGCGCGAGGACGTAGGCTCCTGTTTGGGGCCTGGGGAGACAGGCTCTTAGGTACATTCCTTGTAAGTAAACCAGATGCTATCACAAGAGTAGTGGACTTCAAAGGTGTCTCTTCGTATGGGAAACAACCTGCAAGGGCCTGATTATTGACTAACCCTAGGGCTAAGAAGGGAAAAACTAATATTTAACCTGAAGTTAAAGCTGAAACTTATCTGCCACATCCTCAGCCAGAAAGCTCCTTTCAGAGAAAGTTTGCCCCAGCTCCCAAAAGTTAGGAGAAAGTCAAGGTTTATTTTAAAAATTGATTCCGCTTTATAAAAACAAAACCACCACAGATTGGAAACTATGGAAAAATCACAATTTTTAACTGAGCCTACTTAGTTCTGTCAGCCTTTCATTTTCCCTTCTAGCTTTACATTTAAAGACACAATACTTATAGTCACAGGTGGCATATTAGAAATGTGAGCTACAGAGCATTCATATTGTAGTTCGTTTCATACATTTCTGATATCTCAATATTCCATCAACATAACTTTTGAACTTTCCGTATACTACCATAATTTAATTTTACATGACCCAGCTGTTTGGATATAGAGATACACTAACTCAGTGGTCCCCAACCCTTTTGTGGCCAATAGCACATTCATGTTTTCAGAAGGGTGTGACGGGGGCCAACAATTTTTCTAAGCTTATTTTGTAATTGTACATTAAATAGTACAAAAATAATATTTAATATTATGTAATATATGAATCCATGATAGAAAAGGTAATTTTACATGGAAAAGGTATTAATTAAATTATTCTGCAATTACTCTTTCACCTTACCATGTGAATTTGCTCTTTTTTAATCTACCTGTAAGAAAAATTAAGGCGTTTTTACAAAATAAACAAACAGTTTTCATCTTATTTATTTTTAAAAAGTAAAACATTACATTTGGACCAGCAGTTCAGCATTTATTATTCTTACTTTAACATAGATAGCCGGTAATGGTTAATTAAAAAGTATTCTTTGTATTGTTTACAAGTAACAAACAAATATGAAAAAAAGTTAAACACAAGTTAATCATACACGCTCATCAGCACTTAATGGAAAATAGGTATAATTAATTCACGTGTTTTTTCTAATAAAGTCTGTGTGATTTTTGGCACTGCATTTCTACAGCCAATTTTTCGTAGTTAGGAGAGTAGGATGATATTTCCGTTCATAAGCAATTGTCAAGATGGGCATCTGTAAGTGGAGATCTGTATTTTGATTTTATGATGTTCATTGTTGAAAACAGAACTTTGCATAGATAAGTGGAACCGAAATAAGATTTTATTTTGTATGTGTCAAGGTTCCTCGCCCACTCTGAACTCTAGGGTACAGATGTGGGGACCTGCATGAAAACCTCCTAAGCTTACTTTTACCATCTTAGGTTAAAACTTCTCCAAGGTACAAATTAATTTAATCCTTTGCCCTTGGAATATCCACTGCCACCACCAAACTCTAACTGGGTTTACTGGGAAACGTAGTTTGGACACATCTTTCCCCCCCAAATCCTCCCAACCCTTGCACCCCACTTCCTGGGAAAGGTTTGGTAAAAATCCTCACCAATTTGCATAGGTGACCACAGACCCAAACCCTTGGATCTGAGAACAATGAAAAAGCATTCAGTTTTCTTACAAGAAGACTTTTCATAGAAAGAGAAGTAAATATAAGTAAAGGAATCACCTCTGTAAAATCAGGATGGTAGATACCTTACAGGGTAATTAGATTCAAAACATAGAGAACCCCTCTAGGCAAAACCTTAAGTTACAAAAAAGACACACAGACAGGAATAGTCATTCTATTCGGCACAGTTCCTTTCTCAGCCATTTAAAGAAATCATAATCTAACACATCGAACTGCAGTGAAAACCAGTCACATATTTCCAAGTCATCCTTTAGCTGAGTTTGCATGTCGCTTGAAATTGCATGTATCCTCCTCGTAACTGTGTTTGATAACTGCAAGTCTTGTATTGCCGACAAAATCTCATGCTTGTTAGGAAATCCTTGAAACAGGCTATCAGCACCAGTCAAAAATGCTTCCTTCAACAATTCAATATCTTGAAATGTTTTTTTCTTTGCGAGCAGATGCGCAATTTTAAAGGAAGCAATAGTAGCACTTTTAGACTTTACCACTTGTCTAGTGAAAACAGATTGCTGAGCAGATAGAGTTGATTAATTTTCTTCTCTCTCAACTCAGATTTAAGTGGATGGCTAACATCAAAAGAGCCATGATTAGTTTGGAAATGGCGTTCGACATTAAGTTTTTTCAGCACTGCAACAGTACCACTGCACAAAAAGCAAACACATTTTCCTTTATTTTCAATAAAACAATAGGATTCTTCCCACTCTGTGGTGAAATAATTCCTACTTTGTCTTTTATTTGAACCACTCATTTTGGGGCAAAATATTCAAAAAATAATAAATCGCAAAGCACAAGAAAACAGAAGTATCAGTGCAGTGGAAGAATATTCACATACATGGCCAGCTCCAGGTACTGGCAGAGCAAGCATGTGCCTGGGGCAGCACATGCGACAGGGTGGCATTCCGTCCATTCTTGGGGCAGCAGAGTCCGAGCAGGGTTTTTTTTTGGTGGGAGCAGTTTTGGGCAGCGTGGAGAGAAACCAGAGAGAAGCTGGGGCCCTGCAACTGACAGGGACACAGAACACCGGTGACCGCAGCCTGCAGCCCCGGAGTTCTCTGTCCCCAGCAGGCACCAGGCCGTGGCTTCTCTCCCCTGCTAGGCACTAGGCGGGCGTGCATAAATGCCCTGGCGGGCACCATGGGACATTTATGTGGGGACCACTGCAGTAACTCTTTGTACGACCCATGGAATCTTTGTATGCAGTGTTGTTATAGCCATGTTGGTCCCAGGATATTACAGAGAAGGTGGGTGAGGTAATACATTTTATTGGACCAACCTTAGTGAAAGCTCAAAAGCTTGTCTCTGTCACCAACAGATGTTGGTTCAATAAAAGAGATTACCTCCTCCATCTGGAACTATGGGAAATGCCTCAGTCTGCTTTTGCCAAATCAGAAATTGTTAAAAGATAATCCTAAGGAAGATCAAGTCTACACAATCACTGTATGATTAAAAGGTATTGAAAGTTTCAGTAGACACTGAAGATGACCATATAATGGATAGATATGCTTCATAGTTCTAGGTTAAGGGATCCTAGTTGAGGCTGTTTGTGTGAAGTTAACTGCACTTTTGCGTACTTTAAAAAAAAAAAAGGGGGAGAAGGTGTTGTAAAGTAGAATCATAGTTTAGGATTTATAGATTTTTCTAAAATTCATGTGTTTTGAAAAAAACTAGAAAATTCTATTAAGACTTCTTTGGCTAACCCAGTGCAAAAAAGCAGCAAGGTAGTGTTAGCCAGTGCATTTAGGTTATGTTTACATACACGACATGAATAGCTATTTATTATATAAATACCATATACATGTGTGTCTGCTGGGTAATTATGCTAAGTTGTACACTACTTATTTTTGCTCATTTATGCTTCGGCATATATCCCATGATGCCCTGGGAGACGTATAGCTCAGCACTTGGCTTAAGCAAATACAAAAACTGTCAAAAACTAGATGTACGAGCATTATGAAACAAAGGTAGAATGTAGTACAAGGAAATAATGAAAGATGTATGAACGCTTTGTATTAGGGAGTATCTTCATGCCCCTTAACATTTGGTATTTAATATTCAAACGAAAGATGGGAAAGTACAAGGAGGCACCAAAGACAAAGCTGGCTTGTTAAACTTTAAGTGCTCTGTTACTTGTAAACAGCTATGCTATAAAAGATGGCCAGTTTAAGGGGGCACTTAGGAAGCACATTCTCTGTACAAGATGAACTGAACACACTGCAAGACTTCAGTTCCTGGGCAGGATTGGTGATGTATTAACTTTTTCATGTACCGTAGTGTGTTTTATCTTTAGATAATAAATTTGGCTGCGCTTGGTTATGTAGTCTCTTGAATATTCTTAATATCAAATGGCAAGTATAATCAATTAATTGGCTATACTTTTTAGTCCATAAAAATGTGTTGTCATAAAGATGGTTAGATGCTGTAGTGGAAAAGAAGATATGGAGCACAGGACATTGTAATATGATTATTTCGCTTGCCCAGCTTGGTTAAAGGATATCCTGTCTCTCATGCTTTAGAACTATTTGTCTTACCCCTGAAATTCTGTTTCTAGTAAGTTTCATGGTGCAGAGAATGAAGGAGGGTCAGCTCTTCATCAGGAAGGTAAATCACTTGGTTACTCTCCTCATCATGTTAATCAATCCTGGGAGAGAAACCTTTATGTCCTGAGCTACTTTTCTATAGTCTTACTTGAGGCCTATGAGATAGGCTACAGGCAGCATGCTTCAACATAACCTCTTCCTAGTACACGAAAAAATAGTTACACCTCTTTTTCCTCCCCTCCCCACAAAAAAAAAGGCACAACAACCCCACAAAACCAAACCCCACAAAACTCTCCCTCTCCAAAAAAACCCAGAGCCCAGATATGGTATTTAACTGTTGGAGTCCTCAAGAGGCACCTTATGCTAAGAGGTAGTTTCATTCCTGTTTTGTAACTGGGAAGCAGAGTCAGAGGGGAATCCTCTGTATTTTAAGTCTTTTTATTTATATAACTGTAAAGTTACCTTCCATCCTGATTTTGCAAGTATGATTCTTTTTTTTTTAATAAATAAAATTATTCTTTTAAGAACCTGCTTGATTTTCAGTGACCTAAAACCCAAAGGGTTTGGTCTGTGCTCACATTGTAACCAATTGGTTAATATATTGTTTTCAAGCCTCCCCAGGAAAGGGGGTGAAGGGGCTTGGGGGGATATTTTGGGAGAATAGGGACTCCAGGTGACCCTTTCCTGAATTTTTGTGTGAATCACTTGGTGGCAGCAGCAATACCATCCAAGGACAAAGAAAAGAATTTGTGCCTTAGGGAAGTTTTTAACCTAAGCTGGTAAAATATAAGCTATGGGGATCTTTCATGCGGGTCCCCACATCTGTACCACAGAATTCACCAATTTTTTAAACAAGCATCTAATGAACACTTTCATTAGTGTCTGAATATGAATCAGCAGCAGAGAAATTGGGGCTTGAGTGGCAATTACTGTTTGTGCTAATTTAGGGACAATTTAGATAATAGGTTGGCTTTAATTTACACGATATACTACTGCCATATCAGGGGTGAATAAAGAATGTTTGGCCTCTAATACTAGAGATGTGTATATCTGGTACCATAATCAGACAATTACAGTATTATTGTACAATATTATTACCATATGCCATTTTTATTATAGTGGCACAGAGACTGTACAACCTTCAGTCTCAGTCACTGCAACAAAAGTCCTCATTGTGATGTAAACACAAGGAACTGTACTAAGATCAACTCATTTCACATAAGCCAATAAACATCCGGTCACTAGTGACTTGGATGCAAATGTATTAGTTTTAAAATGGTTACTCATTTGTTTGGGCTGCAAAAATTCTAACAAAAAAAGATTCTAAAAAATCTTATTGCTATACAAGTGAGAGTAATTTGGCTAACAAATACCACTCTCTAGGTATGTTTTTTTTAATTACATAGCTCAGAATTCTTGTCTGTCAATTACCTTGCTTCCACAGGGAGAGCCATTTCACTTGTTGATGAAAATATATCTTATCGTTAATAGCATCAATTTTTTTTAACAATTTGTTTTTAATCAAACACTAGTCAGAAAGTTAAGAGTTTATTTTTTGGGTGGAGGGCAGGAAAGATAAGGTAGAGCAGTGGTTCTCAATCAGGAGTCCGGGGCCCCCTGGGGGGGCCACCAAGCAGGGTCAGCATTAGACTTGCGAGGTCCCAGGGCAGAAAGCCAAAGCCCCACCGCATGGGGCTGAAGCCTGGGTCCCTGAGCCCTGACACCCAGGGCGGACACCAAAGTCTGAGCAATGTAGCTTTGCAGGGGGCTCCCTGTGGCTTGGGGCCATGGGCAGTTGCCCTGTTTGGTACCCCCACTGCCGGCCCTGGCTTTTGTATGAAGAAAAACAGTTGTTGTGACAAGGTGGGCAGTGGAATTTTTATAGCATGTTGGGGGCGGAGGGGGCTCAGAAAGAAAAAGATTAAGAACCCCTGAGGTAGAGAGCATTGTTCAAATAGCATAGGTTACTGGATTACTGCCCATCACTCACAAGTCTGTAGTCTGATGAAACCTCTGCCACGTTACATTTGTGTGTTTATTACATAAAGCTTTTTATTTTAAATCACCAAAAACAGCAGTATGTTTTAGCAAACTGACTTTGGCAGATTGTGATGTGAATAGGGAATAAATAAATTAGTTAAAAGTTAGGGTCTGCTAATTAATATTCAATGACAGATTGAGATAAAGTGTCAAATTCACATGGTGGCTAAGAAATTAATATTTAATATATATCAATGAGATTTTATTTGAATCAACTAAAGATTTAAATATTAAAGCAAGTTAAAATATAAATCTACATTAAATTACAATATTAAATAGCTTTTAAATACTTTTATTGTACTAAACATATGATAGGGAGTTTGATTTCTAACACAGAGGAAAGGGAATAAAAATAATTCAAAGAATGCAATACAATTAGTGAGACCAGATGACAGAATGAGGACTTTAATATAGAAACCCACAAGATGTCAGCTTTTAGCAATGGATACTTAAGAAAGGGTCGTGGACTTATAATTTATGCACAAAAATCATATTATATAAATTTAGTAATTTTTTTTTCAAGAAAATATTGCTTAGTTAAATTCTCATTAGACCATGATCAAAACTCCTTTGGTAGCTTTTAATCAGAATGAAACACCATTATGCAAATCCTGTAAAATAAAACAGAGGCTTGTAAATATTACCACAAGAAAGTATCTTCCTTAGAGTTATAATTATCTAACAGATCTACATGTTCTTCATTCTTTAATTCAAATCAACTTACATATATACAATATGTAACAGGGAACTCACAAAATCCTTAGTCTCTCAAGACAAAAATCTATTACTTCACATCAAAACTGTAAAGCCTTTGAAATCTTCTCTTCCTGTGTTGAGTACACTGTACAGTAATTATCTTATATTTGTCTCTAAAGGCAACACTAAATTTTACTGAAGTTTTACATAAACAGTAATGCAAATCACTTGCCTTAGAGCAAAAAATTCCACAAATGAATACCTTAGCTAAGTAATCAGACAGCTCACTACAGACATTTTAACACAGTTGTCCTCTTGGCACTTTGAAGATTTCACTTCAAAACCTGATTTATCCAAACCAGACTGAAGTTTAGAACTATTTTGAAAGAAAATTAAACAAACATGAAAACAGTATCAAGGTGCATAATTTCAAAAATTCACTGAGTGTTGGTACATAAAGGGTTAATCAATTAAAAGGGGTTTTAAAAGATACCCGAGTGATTTTTGTAGCTAAAGAATGCAGCATTAAGGGTCTTTATGGATGTGCTGTCATGAACACATACATAAATAAGCCAGACTTGCATCTCTGTCACAGAAAAATAGAATATTTTTTTACCTTCCCTTCCAACTTCAAAAAGTTAATTTTAAACAAAGGAGAACAAACATATTTTGAAGTACTCAAAAGAACAAATGGAAGAACTAAAAAATAAAAGATGTGCCATTTAAAAATCACTAAGGAGTCTTGACAAGGATGATCCAAGAAACCTTTCCTTTGCTTCTCATCCACACCAGTGCATGCAGCTGGTTGAACAGTATACATCAACTTGAGATCTGCTAAAAGTAAAGTCTGGAAATAGCATAGGTATTCAATGTCCTGAATACATTATTCTGGTGTTTTTTAGAAAAAAAAGTTCTCTCCGTTATGCAACGTAGTGGTATTGATTGGGGTTGTCTTTGTCTCTCTCCATGTAGTCTCTATCTATGAGAGATTCAATCCTTTTTTTCAAGTCTCCAGGCTGTAAGAAAACATGAAATTGGTATTCTGTTTAGTAATATAAATGAAATATAAAAAGAATTTTTTATTTTCAATCCCACTATAGTAAAATGAGGACAGTAATCTTTATTTTAAAAATTGGCTCTATAAATTGTATAACAAAATACATCAAATTAAAAATGCATTTCTAAATATAAAAATATATAAACTCCTGGTAAAACCTGCTGACTTCCCCCTCTCATTGTTAAAGAAAACATTTTAACATTTGAATCTTTGATTTTGATTCAACCATTAAATTCTACACTACTTATTTTTTCATCTTTTAGAAGGATAGAAAAGAATAGAAAAAAATAATAAAAAAGACAGTTACCTTTCCCGTAACTGGTGTTCTTTGAGATGTGTTGCTCATGTCCATGCCATATTAGGTGTGTGTGCTTGCGGGAAGGTTTTCCCTCAGTGGTATCTGTAGAGGACTGGCTCTGGTCTAATCTAATCGCCTTTTATGATGAGATTACTGGTTCAGTGGATGAAGGGAAAGCAGTGGATGTATTGTTTCTTGACTTTAGCAAAGCTTTTGACACGGTCTCCCACAGTATTCTTGTCAGCAAGTTAAGGAAGTATGGGCTGGATGAATGCACTATAAGGTGGGTAGAAAGCTGGCTAGATTGTCAGGCTCAACGGGTAGTGATCAATGGCTCCATGTCTAGTTGGCAGCCGGTATCAAGTGGAGTGCCCCAAGGGTCGGTCCTGGGGCCGGTTTTGTTCAATATCTTCATAAATGATCTGGAGGATGGTGTGGATTGCACTCTCAGCAAATTTGCGGATGATACTAAACTGGGAGGAGTGGTAGATACGCTGGAGGGGAGGGATAGGATACAGAAGGACCTAGACAAATTGGAGGATTGGGCCAAAAGAAATCTGATGAGGTTCAATAAGGATAAGTGCAGAGTCCTGCACTTAGGACGGAAGAATCCCATGCACCGCTACAGACTAGGGACCGAATGGCTAGGCAGCAGTTCTGCAGAAAAGGACCTAGGGGTGACAGTGGACGAGAAGCTGGATATGAGTCAGCAGTGTGCCCTTGTTGCCAAGAAGGCCAATGGCATTTTGGGATGTATAAGTAGGGGCATAGCGAGCAGATCGAGGGACATGATCGTCCCCCTCTATTTGACATTGGTGAGGCCTCATCTGGAGTACTGTGTCCAGTTTTGGGCCCCACACTACAAGAAGGATGTGGATAAATTGGAGAGAGTCCAGGGAAGGGCAACAAAAATGATTAGGGGTCTAGAACACATGACTTATGAGGAGAGGCTGAGGGAGCTGGGATTGTTTAGCCTGCAGAAGAGAAGAATGAGGGGGGATTTGATAGCTGCTTTCAACTACCTGAAAGGGGGTTCCAAAGAGGATGGCTCTAGACTGTTCTCAATGGTAGCAGATGACAGAACGAGGAGTAATGGTCTCAGGTTGCAGTGGGGGAGGTTTAGATTGGATATTAGGAAAAACTTTTTCACTAAGAGGGTGGTGAAACACTGGAATGCGTTACCTAGGGAGATGGTAGAATCTCCTTCCTTAGAGGTTTTTAAGGTCAGGCTTGACAAAGCCCTGGCTGGGATGATTTAACTGGGAATTGGTCCTGCTTCGAGCAGGGGGTTGGACTAGATGACCTTCTGGGGTCCCTTCCAACCCTGATATTCTATGATTCTATGGTGCCCCCTGGAGTGGCGCACACATGCGCTATAAGGGGCGCTGCCAGCTCCTCCCACCCTCAGTTCCTTCTTGCTAGAAACTCCGACAGTGGGGAAGGAGGACGGGTTGTAGAATGGACATGAGCAACACATCTTAAAGAACACCAGTTACGGAAAAGGTAACATTCTTTTCTTCTTCAAGTGCTTGCTCATGTACATTCCATATTAGGTGACTCCCAAGCAGTGCGAATGGAGGCAGGTAGGAGTTCACCAATGCGTAGATTGCAACACAGCTCTGCCGAACTCAGCATCATCTCTGGCCTGCTGAATGATGGCGTAGTGCGCTGTGAACGTGTGAACTGAGCTCTGCAAATGTTCTGAATAGGGATGTGCGCCAGGAAGGCTGCCGAAGACACCTGAACTCTGGTTGAGTGGGCACTCACAATCAGTGGCAGCGGAACTTGTGCCAGTTCATAACAGATCCAGATGCAGGAGGTGATCCAGTTGGAAACCCTCTGCGAGGACACTGGGAGGCCCTTTTCCAGGTGATCTCTGGACTGGGAATAGACAGTCACGAGCCACTGCTGTAAGGGTCGCATCCAGAGCCTGACATGGCAGACGACAGACGTACATGCTGCCATGTGTCCCAGCAAGGGCAGACAAACCCTGGCCCTGGCTAGGGGGAACATGGAGACCACCATGCAGAGGTCCATCAATGCTTGGAACCTCTCCTGCAGCAGCAACGCTCTGGTGCAGGTGGAGTCGAGCACCGCTCAGATGAACTCTATCCTCTGCACTGGAACTAACGTCGACTTTTGTCGTTTACTAGCAAGCCCAGGATCTGCACGTGGCCAACATCCCTTTTGACTTGGGACCTGGACTGACCTTTGATCAGCCAGTCGTCAAAGTACGGGTAGATCTGGATACCCTGATGCCTGAGTTAAGCTGCTACCACTGACGTGCACTTGATAAACACCCTTGGTGCTGTCGCAAAGCTGAAAGGGAGGACCACAAACTGGTAGTGGTCCGATCTCATCATGAAGCATAGGAAGCGCCTGTGTCCTTGGAAGAACGCTATATGAAAGTACTTCAAGTTAAGGGTGGCATACCAGTCTCCTGGATCCAGGGAGGGGATGACAGAGACCATGCGGAACCTCAACTTCTTTAGGTATTTCTTGAGGTCTCGTAGGTCCAGGATGGGCCGTAGATCACCCTTGGCTTTTGGGATTAAGTAGTACTGGGAATAGACCCCCTTGTTCCTGTACTCACGGGGAACCTATTCCACCGCACCCAGCTGCATCAATCCTTCTACCTTCTGTGCGAGGAGACTCTCGTGAGAGGGGGTCCCTGAAGAGGGATGGTGAAGCAGGGTGGGGGGTAGACAGAAACTGTAGGATATAACCCTGCACCACTGTACTGAGGACCCAACGGTCTGAGGTTATGGTGGTCCATGCCAGGAGGAAAAAAGAAAGGCTGTTGGAAAAAGGCGGGATAGATAGATCTGGGGTATAGTCTGGTAGGTCTGAGTGCACCCTAAAAATGCCTGCTTGCTCCCCTGCTTATTGCGGGTCGAGCCTGATTGGGTGGAGGGAGCGGGTGGGTGGCTTGTGCGGAGTTTGTAGCCCCTGCTCTTTTTGTGGGGCGGCTCCCTTGGCCATGAGCTGGCTGTGGTTTCAACTGCTTACAGACTGGACCGGGGATGTACAGCCCTAGAGTTTTCAGGGTAGTGCGGGAGTCAGTAAGCTCAATGGCCTTAAGATGTCTTTTCTGCAAACAGGCCTAGCTGTAGAAGGGAAGGTCCTGCATTGACTGCTGAGCCTCTGTTGACAGACCCAAGAGGAGCAGCCAGGATGCCCACTGCATGGAGATGGCCAAGGCCATAGCACAAGCCGCAGAGTCAGCCACATTTGAAGCTGCCTGGAGAGCTGCCCTGGCCACTGTGGTGCCTTCCTCAAGGATCGCCCGGAATTCCTTCCTGGACCCTTCGGGAAGCAAAACCTTGAACTGGGCCATGGCTTGCCACATGTTGTAATCGTAGTGGTCAAGGAGGGCTTGGTGGTAGGCCACTCTCAACTGAAGGCTGGAAGATGAAGAAATCTTTCGCCCAAACAGATCCCGTCTCTTGGAGTCTTTATTTTTGGGCGTAGGTTTGGGTTGCCCCTGCCTCTCCCTTTGATCAACTACCTCAACTACAAGAGAGTTTGGGGCCGGGTGGGTGTAGAGATACTCGTGGCCTTTACCTGGCATGAAGTACTTACATTCAGCCCTTTTTGAAATGGGGGGCAGGGAGGAGGGGGTTTGCCATAGGGCATTAATAATTTTTGATACCCCTTCGTGTAGGGGCAGATGCCGTGGAGTAGGTGCTGTGTAGCAGAGGACGTCAAATAGGGAGTCCGATCGCTCCTCTAGCTCCTCCACCTGGAGCCCCAGGTTGGAGGTGATCCTCTTCAGTAGTTCCTGATGAGCCTTAGCATCATCTTGAGAAACCGGGTAAAGGGGACCCATGATGGCTTCGTCCAGCAACAATGAAGATGACACTGGTGCCGTGAGCATTACAACGTCCCCTGGTGGTCCAGCAGGCTGTTCCCCTGTCTGCTCATGGGCGTGGTGGGTTCTGCCTTCTGGGGCCTACACCTCTGGTGGAGAGTGGGATGCTGAGGCCGATGGCCTATCTGAGGCTCCCACCACCGAGCGGCCAGTCTGCGATGGCTGGGGAAACCCCCACAGGTTCCAGGGGTACCAGGATGCCACTGGCTTTGGGCCCAAGGGGTCAGTTGCAGTGCTGACGATGTGGACGGTACAGCCAGTGCTTGTCCCGCCGTCAAGGACTCATGCTCAGTTCTGCAGCCGGAGGCAGAGTGGTCACTGGCAGGTGACCATGATCGAGTGGACGAGCATTCCTTCTCCGTGCAGCGCCGGCTGCTACACCTCGACACTGACCTGACTGATCGAGAAGAGTCCCTCGCATGGGAACTTGGGGACCGTTGGCACTCTGCGTCGGTCAACGGGTGATCTACACCTCACGCTGCTCGATAGGTACCAGGACCTGGAACGGGACCGGGAGCTGAAGAGGGCCGGTCACTGGGAGGATCTCCCCAACTGCAGGGATCCGTGTGCCAGCAACTGGCATTGGTGGGTTGGTGACCAGTGGCCGCGTCCAAACGATGGTTCGCATGACCAGTGCCGAGGCCTTGGGGACATGAAAGGCTGGTCTCTATGCTCTTGCCAGGGGGCACATGCCTTGCTAGGCCTGCACCATGTTACCAGCGAGCCGCATCTCGAATCCCGCTGTCAGTGCCCAGGGTCTGAAGACCAAAAAGGACTTCGTTGAGCCTGCCTCCGAGGCATGACAGCTCAGAGCAGGCGAGCGCTGGTGGGACTCTATGATGGGGAGCGGTGTCACTGAGATGCAGACACACGGTAAGGTCCCCAAGCAGGTTTACCCTTGGACTGGGCTACCGCCGAAGCCGGTGTGGGCGGCATCGGTAACGACAGGATCTCCTACACTGCCTGCAGGGTCTCTGGTGTCGACAGGACATCTAGATGACGGAGACCCTCGTCACTGTCTCAGGTGGCAGGCATAGTGCCCAATGGGCTGGACCACTGAACTTGAGCTGGGGCCCGACTCCCTGATGGAGGCATCAAGCCACCCGCCACGGGTCTTTATTCTCCTCTGGGCCTGTCCTTTCCTTTATGGGAAATGGGGGATCTTCCCCTTGTGGTTCTCTTTGGCTTCTTGACCGGAGCCGGGGAGGGGGGATCGGTGCTGGCTCAAAGACGGTGCTGGCGGGGTGCTCTGCACGGACGCTGTAGTGCTTGAGGCCAAGTTGGACCTGGGTGCTGGGGTCAGGGACTCCAGCAGGAGCGACTCCAGGTCTGACTCCATCAGGAGCGCCCTCAGACAGATGTGTCTGTCCTTTTTTGTTTGGGTTTGAAGGATTTACAGATGCGACACTTGGCGCTTGTGTCTCCTTTGCCTAGACACCTCAAACAATTAGCGTGCGGGTCGCTGATATGCATAGGCCACTTACAATAATCGCAGGGCTTAAAGCCTGGGGACCAGGCTAGCATTAGCACTAAGGGAACTATTAACTATTTTACAACTACTTTACAGGAAACGTTCGGAAGAAACACTGAATGAAACAAAACGATAGCCGAAGCAGCAGATGTTCCAGCACTGTCACTGGCGGCAAGAAGGAACTGGAGATGGGGGAGCCGGCAGCGCCCCTTATACCGCAGCATGTGTGCGCCACTCCAGGGGGCGCCAGAGCCATTCCCCTACGGATACCACTGAGGGAAAAAATGCCGGTACCAGTGCATGTGGCGAGCACACACACCTAATATGGAATGGACATGAGTGAGCACTCGAACCAGACATTTAAAAAAAATTCTAGTATGGATTGAAAGGAAATTGAGTTCACTTACCTTTACTGGAAATTTCAGCTGATTATACAATTCAGAAACAAGAAGGTTATGGCAGAGTGTCTTTCTCATCTTCATTATTCGTACAATAGCAGCATCAATCTGATATTGTCTATCTTGAAACACTCTTTCAGTTGTGCTAACCTGTTCTTCAACCTAAAGGACAAGACAACATGCATCAAGCACTCTTTCAATTGCCAATTTTCCTGTCTCTGAATGTTTGGTTAAGCTTTAGGGAAATATACAATTAATATGTGGAAGGAAACAACATTCATTTATTCTTCTCTTTCTGACAGACAAGCACACACACCTAAAACCTGGGCTCTCGGATGTTCTGATGCTGTTAAAGGAAACTAAGGATACAAATGAAGCATATGCAAAGCAAATTCACATAGTTCTTATAAAGAGTAAACTTGATAAACCAAACTACAATTAAAAAAACAACAGTATTTATTTAATTAAGAAATACATCAATACAGATGAGGTTTCTACTAAACCTTAATGTATATGGGCCTTCTGAAATAGAGAATAATTCCAGGACTGTACGCTTCAAGGAGTTCTGTATGCTAAAGACAAAGAAAACAACTGGACATGCTAATTAAACACGTCAATCATGTTGACACCAGGAATTGGGATCCATTCCCAAAGTCATTCACAGCAACAGAGGGGATGATAATTATTTCAATAACTCTCTTATCTCCAAATAAAAACCGTTGATGTGTTAACAGCATTACTTCTGTTCTGTTCAATCAATGTGATGTCAATACTTCAACTACATTGTCCAAACAATTAAGATGTATTGAAAGGAATGTGAGATCATACCAATTTAGGACACAAACGGACTACCAATGAGACTAGAAATATTTCTCCCCTCCCAGGATGAGAAAAATATTGCTGGAAATGCAGAGACTGTGTCAACTCAGCCAGGACATATAGGTAAGCAAGGCACAATATCAGTTTAATCAAAATAAATGCAAAGAGTAAGAGTATTTTAATACATACTGTTTCTTTCATCTGTATTTGGTTGATCTTTATTCTAAACAATTTATGCTTGAAGTCACCATTAAAGATTAATTTGTCTCCATCTTCTACATCCTTGCCTTTTGGATTTTTAATCAATACCCGTGCTTTCCCACAGGCCAAACTCTGCAAGGTTCTTCGCAATTCACTGTCCTCTGTAAACAGGTTAAAAATACAATAAAAAGCTGACTGTAACTTTGAAATATTAAATTGTTAATTTATAAAATACAAGTTAAAACATTCCTTCTTTTCTGAGGTATATTGCTAATAATTTCTTCTAACTCATTCCTAATTATGCAATGTAATTCACAACTTTAAAGGCCCAATCCTGCAGATCTTACTTATACCTAAGAACTAACAGTATTTCAACATTGTACAAGACATGAACAAAGACGTGGCCCCAGCCTCAAGGAGTTTACAATCCAAAAAAACCAAAGATCAGACAAGAATATACTAGGAGACTTAGAGATTTAAAAAAAGAAAAAAAAGGGGGTAAATTGTGTTACCCTGAGCTTCATCAGTGGGTACTGTGATATGAGTATGTTCTAACATGAATATTATGCTAACAGAAACAAGTGGACAACTGTTCATGCTACCAGGAAAACATTTATGCACTAAAAATAATACGATACGGAAGAACTAGAAACCAAGGAATGACATAATAAATCTTAATATGTAAAACGCAAAGTCAAAAGCAACTTTGGTGTTAGGCAAAACAAACATGAATACACTAAACATTAAACTTCATGAAGACTTTTGTTAAAGCCCTGAAAATTTCTAAGTGAATATGCATTTTGTTGTTCTCTGCCTAGTCTCTTGAATACCATTACCTGCAATATAAAAACCATAATAAAATGTGTTAGGATAGCACTATGTGTAGACCTGTGAACTGAAATAGCAAAGATTTTGCAAGCTAGAGCTGAAGTGCATTGGAAGAGTTGAGTAAAATGATAACATCATTAGGTTTAAAATTAGCCCTTTTAGTTAGAGAATAGTTTAGCTTTCACATTCCTGCAACACCACCATTAAGAAAACCCTTTTTATTCCTTCTTTTGATGTAAGGGAGTGGACGGACAATTATTTATAAAGATATTAAATTTACAAAAATATTAGATTGCAATAATTAAACAATCACCTATATGCTTTATGTTTTTGAAGCACTATATCTGAAGCACTATAAAGAATGGTTACTCTCCATTAACTGTGGTTCTTCAAGATGTATTGTCCACATTCCACTTCTGGTGTGCATGCATCCCAAGCACAGAAAATTGGATTGTTTTTGAATAGCAGTTGAGGCCACAACTGTGCCCTGTAAACTGCGGGTATGTCTATACAGCAATTTAAGCCCAGGTCTGAACCCAGGCTCAAGCCAAACACCCCTTGTGTCTATACTGCAATTGTGCTAATCTAGGGCTCAGACCCAAGGTCCCAGGACCTGCCAGGCTGGAAGCTCCAAGCCTCTGGGACCTAGGGTCCGAGCCCTATTGGTTTCCTGTGGGTATGTGGTCCCAACTTGACTTAGGTCCTAGATGTCCTCCAGATATATCCCGAAGTTCCTGGCAGCAGAGGAGCAGTGCTGCAGGCAGCCAGCACAGTGGCTCTTGCTCCTGGGTCCACCCTGCCCTATCTGCGGCTGTGGGACAGGAACGGCCAGGCAGTGCGCACTGTGAGGGTGATAAGTGGGAGCCAACCCCAAAACTTCCCTGCAGCCTCCTGAGGATCCATTATCCCTGCCTCCCAGGGTGCAGCAGGAGCAGGGACAGGGGATCCTCAGGCGGTGCTGGAGCACATTGCACCCCAAGCCTTGGGCATGCACTTCATCACTCTGCAGCCGGCAGCAGCCAGACTGGTGTGTGTGTGTTTTCCTCTGATACCTTCATTTTATGTCAAATTTCAAAACAGACAGACACCTTCTTTGAACTTCCCACTTTAAAAATTAAGAATGGCAACATTTCATTTAATAGTTTGACAGTCCTGGAGAGATTGATGTTCTAATTATCCTCAGAATAGATGCACATGGGCATTTTCCTGCCACTATGACTCAGCTTAGAGCTGGAGAGCCCAATTCTCACATTAGTTGGTAGTTGACTAGCAAGCCTTCTCAAACTGCAGTCGTTCTACTGAGACAGCCACCAAAGGAGCTACTTATGCCGTTTATGTACTCATGTGTTCCTTATGGGCACCCAAGTCCCATTAATAGCACCACTGCAGTTAGGAAACAGGGTGGGCAAGAGAGTTTGTCCACAGTGCTACACATTTGAAGGGCCAGAGTGTCGACATGGGGGTTGAGGATGCTAGGTATAGGGTTACTGGGGATAGGGTTACTTTGACTTGGGTTTGTGCTCTACAGTGTGGACTTCAAAGCCCTAGGTTTGAGCACGGGTCAGAAAATTCTTAATCTAGGGTTAAAGTGCAGGATAGATGTTAAAGCCCAAGGTTCTCTGACACACATCAGCTGACTTGAGTCCCACTAACCTTAGGTTTACATTGCTGTCTAGACATAGCCTCTCTGGTGCTGCATAGAAGAGGATGAAAAGGGGGAGTGGCAGCAACCACTCTTCACTAAAACAGAATCCACCTGATCTAGGGCTGCAAACTAGCAGATAAGGCATGCGGATCATGGCATACATGTGGACAACATACCTTGAAGAACCAGTTACTACACCATAAGTAACCACTCTACTCTTCTTCAAGTGATGTCCATATGTCTACTTCTGGTGACTCACAAGCAGTGATATCACCTTCTGAAAGTGGGTGATCACAGTCTACTGAAAGGATGTCTGTAAAACAGCTCTGTCAAAGTGTGCGTCAGAGGTTGCTGGAGCTCTGATGGAATGGTTCCTATCTGCATAGGTGGGTCCAAACACACACTCATAGAGCAAGACAGTCTGAGTTTCATTTAGATAGTCTTTAGGTGGATATAGGCTGACTTTTCATCCCCTCAGCAAAGGCCAGAAACAGTCTAGGCAAGCTCCCGAATGGTCTTATTCTGTCCAAATAAGAGAGTCCCAACAACATCTAACGTGAAATTTAACTTCCCCTGGATTAGCACAAGGATTGGGAAAGAAAATTGACAGGTGAATCACCTGATTCAGGTGAAAATCTGAGACAACTTTAGGAAAGAACTTTGGGTGAGGTCCTAATGTCACTTTGCCCTTATGGAATACTGTATACAGGGGTCCTGCTATGAGGGCTTGGATCTGTCCTATTTTTCTGGATGAGGTTTTAACCACTAAGAAGATGGTCTTCATAGACAGGTAATATAAAGAGCAAGTAAATAAAAGTTTCAGGGGGAGGCCTCATTAACCCTGATAATACAACAGTGAGGTTCCAGAGGGACAGGATCTCTCGGACTAGAGGAAAGACCTGAAGCTCTTGAGGAACCTAGCAACTGTTTGGTGTGAAGACAGATCTTCAGTTGGAGGATGAGCAGAAACTGCCATCAGATGGACTTCCATAGAAGTAATTGAGAGTCCCAAATGCATTAGGGCCAGTAAGTAATAGTTGCTACTGGGTTTTCTAGTGGGAGTAGGTGCTTCTGCATTGCCCAAAAAAGAACCTCTTCAATTTAGCTGAATAAGTTACTCGAATGGAATCATTTCTGCTACAAGCCAGAACGTTCTGGACTTCCATGGAGCAGATTTTGTCTGTGGCTGTTAGCCAGCCAGCATCAGCCTGCAAGGTGCAGCGATGCTGGGTTTGGGTGTAGGATCTGGCCCTCAGTTTGTATGATTACATTTGGCTGAACCATAAGTGTGATTGGGGGCTGTGTTGACAGGCTCATCAGCTCAGACTACCAGAACTGTCTGGGCCATGCTGGTGTTGTCATTATCATCCTGTTTGAGCTTTTTCAGGATCCTCTGTATCAGTGGAATGAGTGGGTAAACACGAATCCCAAAATCCAGGGGATGCAGAAGGCCAGATCCTCCTCTAGAGCAAAATACTTGGCATTGCTTGTTCTAGTCTATGGCAAACAGATCTATCCTTGGGCATCCCCATTTGTAGATGTAGATGTCTTGCAGAAATGTGTTCTTGACTGAACGCTTGTGTATTGTGTGCAGAATTGATCTGCTACGGTGTTCTGCAAGCATGAAAGATGTAGGGCCAAAAGTGTTACTTGGAGGCTGATACACCAGTCTCAGAGATGGATTGCTTCCTGGCAGAGAGGTAATGAGTGTGCCCCTCCCTGCTTACCGATGTAGTACATTGCTGTAGTATTGTCCTTCAGTACTTGGATTGTGGTTCCTCAGAATATGGTGGGTATAATATAGGAATGCCATGCAGACTTGGCTAACAGCTCTTAGCCCTAGGATATTATGTGGAGATTTACTCCTTGTGGGGGACAGATCATAGTCCCTGCATCTTAAAATGGTCCAGATGAGCTCCCCATCCAAGAGTGGACGCGTCTAGTCACCAGCTGTTTAGTGGATAGAGGCAGTAAGAATGGCCCTCTGTTGTGCACATATAGAGGATCCTTCCACTAATCTAACAAGGAGAGGGCTTCTTGTGAGACCATGACCATCATATCTATTAGGTGTCTGCTGGGGTCCTTGTGCCATGGTGTCATTTTGGGTGGTCCCTGCTGTTTGGACCTCTCATGGATGGCTGCAACCACCAAGGACCCAGGTGTATGGTCATTATAAAAGTACTCAAACTACTTTGAGGGGACTTGGTAGCACCTATCTGCCTTATTTGAAGTGGGTTCCACTGAAGTTGGGGTCTATCATAGGTCTCTTGCTGGTTCCAACAAGCCTTCATTTATTGGCATTGCCAATCTACCAGAGCCCAAGGAGCACAGGATGCAGAAGTTAGTGTGACTTTTCCTGCATTCTCTCTACTGCAATTTCCAGGTTAACTGACTGGAGAAGCTGCTGGAAGATCAGATAGTTTGTTTCAGCACTGCCAGACGTAAGGGGGGACAGACTCATCAGGCGAAGATGATAATATCACTGTTGAGATAGGCTAGACATCTGTCTCTTGTAGATCATCCTTCTCTGTGTCCTGGTACTGATGTTGAGATGTACAGTGGACCAGCTGACCTTCCTGAAATGGATTAAGAGGGAACACAGACCTGGCTTTGGAGGCAGGAGAACCAATGAAGTCTTTCTACTGGGTGGCATCCCCAAACAGGCTCAGCATGGCCATTATTGCTTAAACTAGGGGTTTGGAGAGAAGGAAGATATCACAATGGGTTCTGGGATGTCCTCTGGACTCCCCGTTGGAATAGCTTGGGTCATCATAGCCCTGGTCTACACTGTGGGGTAGGGGTGGGAGGGGGGGGAAATTGATCTAAGTTACGCAACTTCAGCTACGTGAATATTGTAGCTGAAGTCGACGTATTTAGATCTACTCATCGCGGTGTCTTCACTACGGTGAGTCGACTGTTGCTGCTCCCCCATCGACTCTGTCTGCACCTCTCGCAGCGGCGAAGTACAGGAGTCTATGGGAGAGCGCTTGAGGGTCGATTTATCGCATCTAGACTAGATGCGATAAATCAATCCCCGCTGGATCGATCATTGTCTGCGGAGCCGGCGGGTAGTGTAGACATACCCATAGAGAGGCGAGCATGGCAAGTAGGTGGGTGACATATCTTCACTTCGCTCAGATGTGGAGAAGGAGCATATCTTCTCCATAAGTTGAACAGTTTTCTCAGAAGTTCTACAAGGCCCAAGGGTATCCTGTGCAGGAATTGAGATGGTGGATCCAGATGGCACCAGGGCTAGGAGCTTCCTAGTAGTTGTCCGCAATGGTGACTCCAGCGGGTTGGCTACTGTCAAGTCAATCAGTACTGCGAATCTCATCAGGACTGACAGCTTGTCCTCCAGATCAGCTGGTAGCATGGTGGGTGCTATGGTATGGAGCACTCTAGTGCCAAGGCAAGGTGTTTGGATGCCAGTGCCAGGTGTATCAATGCTGGGTGTTTTGTGGCCAATTGATCAGTATTGGTAGAGTCAGGAACAGACTCCAAAAGCAGTGCTGAGGTTATCTGGTGACAAAATGGTGCAGAGACATCAGCAGTACTAAATCTGAGCCTTGAACTGCCCCCTGGTTTGGACTTACTCAGTGCTGATGAGGAAAATCGGTGTCTCCAATGAGACCAGTATTCTTTCCTCCCTCTCTCCTCAGAAGATTGAACTGAGGCTGAGTTAGAAGCTCTGTCTAGTCAACAAGTGAGCCCTGAAGTTCAAGGTAGACCTGGGACTTACTGGAGCACTCACAGAGACTGGTCTAGTTTGGCTGTTGCTTCTCCTCGGGCTCAGATAATGCCCTTACAGATCTCTCCAAGAGAAAAAGTTTTGGCAGGATTCCCTTTCTTTGTGTGTCCTCTTTGAAAAAGAGAAACATATCAAGCATTTTATCTTGTGTATATGCTTCACAGAGGCAGAAGCAGCACATGGAGTGTCAGGATTGATAGGAATGGCTACCACACAAGAGGGATAGGATTTGAATCCTTGGGATTTCAACAGCACCATATCCAGGGGATCTGGTACTGGGAATATCTGGGAAGTTGAAGAGCTTGTCTTCTCATTTTTTCCCTCCTTTTAAAACAAAAATGCCAACAGGCTTAACTATAAGAGAAATATATTAAGGAACACTCACTAAAAACTAGAGAAAACAAGTGCACAGTGTGCAGAGATGTGGACAGTGTAGAGGTTCCATCTTGCTGCCTTGGATAGTAAAAAGTAACTGGAAGGGGGTTACAGCTGCTCCGCCCTTTATGCCCTCAGCTGTGGAGTGCCAGAAGGCATGTGGGCCACAGGCACAGTCTCAACAGGCACTGGTATTAAAAAAAAAAAAAAAATTTTATCTTGTGCCCATGGGGTGCATGTGCACCAGAAGCAGAATACACATGGACAATCACGCAAAGACATTATTAATTCAACACCCCCTCTCCAATCCAAAACTAATGCAATTGTTCTAAAAAGGTCATTTTAAAGTATGATAATTGAAACTACAATAGAACCTTAATAATCTGCACATTTTATAATCTGCACAGAAAAAAATGGAGTCTCTCGACTTCTCAAAGAACTAAAAAAAAGCTGTAGTGAGGTCTTGTTAATAAGAATGCATCAGTTTTTACAAAATATACTACAGATCATTTACTAATAAATTTATGAAGTATCAATGTTATCCACAAAGTAGTAGAAGTATATTTGGCTTATCTTTTTGGTATTTACGTACTCGCTGATTCACAAAAATAGCCATTGCAAGTCACTGAAATTAGCAACATTCTGCTGTACTTAAAATTAGACTTTTACATCCAAAGTACTATTTAGAAGCTATTCAAATGAAAGAAAATAATGAATGTATGAAGTAATTTTTCATACCTATGCCAGTAGCCATTTTAATTTCTTCAAAAATAAATTCATCTCCTTCATTAAACATAAGCAGCACTAATGTCTGGAAGAGTGACACATGAAACTCTTTCTTTCCCTACAAAGGAAACAAAAAAACCCACAAGTAACTATAAATGATTTCTAGAGCTGTGTACAACATTTAGAGTATCAACTGTATTCTATACAGTGGAAAACTTCAAAAACAATTCTGATGACAAGCTGTACAATCTATAGATTATTTAACAAATAGCTTCTAGATCAGTGGTTCTCAAACTTTTGTACTGGTGACCCCTTTCACATAGCAAGCCTCTGACTGTGACCCCCCAATAAATTAAAAACACTTTTATATATTTAACACCATTATAAATGCTGGATACAAAGCAAGGTTTAGGGTGGAGGCTGACAGCTCACGACCCCCAGGTAATAACCTCGTGACCCCGAGGGGTCCTGACCCCCAGTTTGAGAACCCCTGTTCTAGATGAAAAGAAATGTGTATTTAAAAGGATTCTGCAGCCTGATTATGTATCCTAGTATGTGGTGCCAAGGAAATGTAACAATAGCAAGACAAATTACAAAAAAACAAAAACAAAAAAAGAAAAAACCAACCCAACCAACCAAAACCCAACAACCCTGGACATTATATTGGTAGTGTAGCGCACCAACAGATTACCTGAATAGCCCAGTATTCATTTAACAGCATTTTCTTCCAGGTACATACAATGGGTGAAATCCTGACTTCAATGAAGTCAATAGCAAAACTCTCATTGACTTAAATGAAGCTAGAATTTCACCCAATGAGTTATTTAATAGAGATAAGCAAACTAACATGAAAGATATCAGTGTCAGATAAAACTTGACGGAACACAAATTCTCTAATTCATGCAATTCTGCAGCAATAGCCTTAACAGAAGTGTGGCATTTGTAAAATTAGGCAATGGGAAGGAGATTAATAACTCAGGATCTCCATGCACAAACAACATTTTAAGCCTATTACAAACTTGTCAGTCATCTTAACTTCACATGATCCCAGGGCTCTAAATTTTGTATTTATAACTAGTCATCATTAACATCAGAGTAAAATTTTTATCTGTGCTCTGGTACAATGAGGTTGCGTTACTGATGAAGATATCTCATCAGACAGAACAAAAGCTATGTTAAGAAACATTTCAATTGTTTAATAATTCAACAAGCATTTAAATTTAACCACATTCATTAAATTATACCACTGATACTTTTCAGCATGGCTTTGTAATAGCTAGGGCTAATATTCAAATCACTAGGTTCCTTCAAAATACTATTTAAAAAAATGTCCACCCCATTCTTTTATAGTTTCCTGCCTGCTACAGGCTTCTTTTCATCAATGAATGAGACTTATTGACCCACAACAGTCAATGCTGAAAGATGTTTCACACTGGAGTTTTGACACGTTTAACTAAAATACCACATTCTAAATAAATGGCAAAGAAAACACTTTTCTAAATAGTTAATATAGAATATTGTTAGATTCTTCTCTGCAAAAAATTGTTTTATTAATATACTGCTTAAAAAGGAAAGAGATGCCAAATAAGTTATTTTATTTAAAAGCAGATGATTAAGCATAAAATAAGCAAACATACTTCCTTAAATTCTGCTTTCAAGACAGCATGCCCTAAAGTGGTCTGCCATTGAAGCTTTCGACCACTGTGTTTTCCAAGATAAAAGGTCTTAAATACCTCTTGAAGCTTAACCATCTGTAAACAAAGAAGAAAAAGAGGGAAAAAAGGTACTTATCTTGTACCAAATGTAACCAAACAGACTGATTTTCACAGTAGTGTGTTAGGCTCATCTTAGTATTTTAAATCAAAGTTTACACAAAAGTAAAGTTCAAGGGCCAAATCTGCCCTCATTTACATTGGTTCCAGCTTAAACAGAGCAAAAATTGATGCCAGACATTCATATAATATAATTTTCTGGAAACAAAATAAATTTTAGTTAAGATAAAACCAAATTCCCATTAAAAGAATAAGAACATATACCAAAGTGGTGATTTCATCCTGGGCCTACCAACATCTGTTCCCCACATGTGATGTAGTTAGAGGAGGAGGAGGAGAGAAGGTTCTGAAAAGCCCCACTCCCATTTTGCACTCTGCTGCCAAGTCCTCACAGACTTGAAGACCAGAAGGGATCATAGTGATCATTTAGTCCAGTGGTGGGCAAACTATGGCCCGCAGGCCAAATCTGGCCCGCCAGCCGTTTTAAACTGACCCTCAAGCTTCCGTTGGGGAGCATGGTCTGGCATTTGCCCCGCTCCACTGCTCCAGCCAAGGAGCAGGGTCAAGGGCTGTGCCACAGCGCTCCTGGAAGCAGCGGCATGGCCCCACTCCGGTTCCTACATGAAGGGGCAGCCAGGGGCCTCCACTCCGCTTGCTGCCCCCGCCCCAAGCGCTGCCCCCGCAGCTCCCATTGGCCGGGAACTGCAGTCAATGGGAGCTGCAGGGGCAGCGCGCCTGCGGACAGGGCGGTGCGCAGAGCTGCCTGGCCGGAGCTGTGACATAGCCGCTGCTTCTGGGAGCCGCTGAAGGTAAGCGCTGCCCGGAGCCTGCACCCCTGAGCCTCTCCCCACGCCCCAACCCTGATCTCCCTCCCACCCTCTGAACCCCTCGATCCCAGCCCGGAGCACCCTCCTGCACCTCAAACCTCTCATCCTCAGCCCCATCCCAGAGCCCACACCCCCAGCTGGAACCTGCATCCCTTCCCACACCCCAACCCTCTGCCCACCCCTGATCTCCCTCCTACCTGCTGAACCCCTCGGTCCCAGCCCGGCTCATTCTCCTACACCCCAAACTCCTCATCTCCAGCCCCACCCCAGAGCCCTCACCCCACCTCACACCCTACTCCCCCACCTCAGTCTGGAGCCCCCTCTTGCACCCTGAACTCATTTCTGGCAGCACCCTGGAGCCTGCACCCCCAACCAGAGCCCTCACCCCGTCCCACACCCTAACCCCAATTTTGTGAGCATTCACGGCTCACCATACAATTTCTATTCCCAGATGTGACCCTCGGGGCAAAAAGTTTGCCCACCCCGGACCTAGTCTGAATTCCTGCACATTGCAGGCCACAGAACCTCACCTACCCCTTCTCATAACAGACCTATAACCACTGGCTGAATTACTTGAAGTCTTTAAATCATAATTTGAGGACTTCAGTTACAGAGAATCCACCATTTACTTGTTTAAACCACCAAGTGACCCAGGCCCCATGCTGCAGAGTAAGATAAAAACCTCCCAGGGTCTCTGCCAATCTCACTTTGGGGGAAATTCCTTCTCAATCCAAAATATGATGATCTGTTGAACCCGGAGCATGTTGGCAAAACCCACCAGCCAGACACCTGGGAAAGAACTCTCTGCACCTCCTGCCTTTGGTTCGTCCTCCTAACTGCAGCCAAGGCTGTTGTCAGCACTTTATGTCCCATTCCCCCACTATCCTGTTCCACCCCCATTAGGAGCAGTCAGTGGAGAGTTTAAGGCCTCCCATCTCCATCAACTGTCTGCCATGGCTGAACCCTTGCAGAGTAGCCCGCTCCTCTAGCGAAGATGCTAGGGGAGTGAAAGGGCAAAAGCTTCCCCTGCCTGTAAATCCAGTGTCACAGCTACAACCACTGTTGGGTCCCAACACTCAGCCTGCCTCCCTTCAGTGAAAGTGAGGGGTTAAAAAAAAAAAAAAAAAAAGGTGTTTGTGTATATATTTGACATTACAACCTAATTATGTTAATCACTTTCAAAATAGGCTTTGCAATATCTGGTAACATAAATAAAACGGATACCTACCTCTCGTAACTGTGGTTCTTCGAGATGCGTTGCTCATGTCCATTCTAATAGGTGTGTGCGTGCGCCGCGTGCACAATCATCGGAAGGTTTTTCCCCTAGTGGAACCGTCGAGTTGGCTGTGGAGTCCCCTGGAGTGGCGCCTTTATGGTGGTGTATATAGGTCCCTTCCGACTGGCCACCTGCTCAGTTCCTTCTTGCCGGAATACTCTGACAGAGGGGAATCGGGCGGGATTTGGAATGGACATGAGCAACACATCTTGCAGAACAACAGTTACGAAAGGTAGGTAACCGTTTTTTCTTCTTCGGGTGATTGCTCATGTTCATTCCAATAGGAGACGTCCAAGCAGTTTCCCTGGGGGAGGGGTCGGAGTTCACCTGGTTGCTGAGTGCAAGACTGCCCTGCCAAAGGCTGCATCGTCCCTTACTTGTTGGGTAATGGCATAGTATGACGTGAAGGTGTGGATAGAAGACCATGTTGCTGCCTTGCATGTGTCCTGGATAGGGACCTTCACCAGGAATGCTGCGGACGATGCCTGCGCTCTCGTGGAGTGCGGCGTAAGCGGAGGGGCTGGAATTTTAGCTAGGTCATAGCAAGTCCTGATACAGGATGTGATCCATAATGAAATGCGCTGGGATGAGATCAGGAGCCCCCTCATCCTTTCTGTGATTGCTATAAAGAGCTGTGGTGACTTACGGAATGGCTTTGTGTGCTCCATGTAGAATGCTAGGGCAAGTCTAACGTCCAGGGAATGGAACATGCGCGCTCTGTTACTGGCATGCAGCTTAGGGAAGAACACAGGTAAAAATATGTCTTGTTTCACATGAAACTGGGAGACTACCTTTGGCAGAAATGCAGGGTGAGGGCGTAGCTGCACCATGTCTTTATAAAATACCGTATAGAGGGGTTCAGAAGTCAGGACTCTGAGCTCAGATACCCTTCTGGCTGATGTCATGGCCACCAGAAAAGCCACATTCCAGGAAAGGTAGGACAGAGGACAGGTTGCCATGGGCTTGAAAGGAGACCCCATGAGCGCAGATAGGACCAGGTTGAGGTCCCACTGGGGAATGGGCCATCATACTTGGAGAATGGGCCATCGTACCTGGGGATAAAGTCTGTTTAAGCCTTCGAGAAACCTGCCCCCATGGGATTACTGAAAACTGACCCATGCGCTGCCCCCAGGTGAAAGGCCGAAATGGCAGCAAGGTGTACCCAGAGAGATGATATTGCTAATCCCTGCTGCTTAAGGTATAACAGGTAGTCCAAAATAAGGGAAATTGGCGCTAGCTGCAGTTTGGTTCCCCTTTGCCAAGCCCAAATGGAAAAACTCTTCCACTTTGCCAGGTATGTGGCACGAGTGGAGGGTTTCCCACTCCCCAGCAAGACCTCCCTCACTGGGTCTGAACACTGAAGCTTAAGTGGATTCAGCCATGGAGTTTCCACGCCTCAGGAGTTCAGGGCCAGAGTCCCTGTCTCATATGGGATCTTCCAGAGCCCTGTGGGTGTGGCGAGCCAGCAACGTGGCTATGGGGGGAATCACGGGGAGATGGTGAGCAGCGCTGTAACATGATAGGTTTGCCACAATGATGAACCAGAGGCGGTGCCGCCATCGGTGCTGCAAAGGGTGCCGGAGCCACATGAGATGTAGGGATAGACGCTGCAGCTGGTGCTACCGCCGGTGCCTGGGCTTGCAATACCAGGGACTGCACCGTCATGGCAGAAAGATCAAGCTCTTCCTCCAAATCCTCACGAGTCAGGGAGTCCACCAGCACCAGACTCGACGGGCATCCTGTTGGGGCCAGAGTCAACGGTGCCGGGTCTTGAGGCCCATGGGTGTCCTGCCGAAGGACGCACCCCACTGGAGTCCCCTCATGGCTTCTTGACGGGTCTTTCTGCCATGAATGACCTCTGTCCGCTTTCTTTTTCTTATGCGGCACCAGGGACTGCAAGCGGTGCTGCCTGGTGGCACTGGCCTTATGAGTTGGGAAGCAGTGCCGGTACTCCTTAGAGGAGTCCTTCCTCGGTGCTGGGACATCCCGCACTGAGGCCGGGGCGCTGTACACCAATAATGCCTGTGTCTCCTCCAGTGCCAGCTGTGGGTGGAGGGCCGACTCCATCAGGAGGAGCTTCAAATGATAGTCCCGCTCTCTTAATCCTAGGTCTAAAGCTCCTGCAAATTGGGCACTTCTCTGTCTGATGGCCCTCTCCTAAACACTTGAGACAGGAAGCGTGCAGATCGCCTGTGGGCATAGGTTTTGCACACTTCTCGCACACCTTAAACTCCTGCAACCGAGGCATGCCCCCATGCCTGGGGAAACTAGGGCAGGGGGGAAGCCCTCTGAAGTAAGTCCAACTAACTACAAACTACTATCTAACGAACTCACAACTATGTACAACTTAGAAAAGGGAACCACTAGGCAGGCACTTGAGAATGCAAGAGACAGCTGCTCCAATGACCATCACTGGAGGTAAGAAGGAACTGAGCAGGCGGCAGGTTGGCAGGGACCTATATACACTGCAATGGGGCACCACTCCAGGGGTCTCCACAGCTGACCAAAGGGTACCACTAGGGCAAAAACCCTCCGACGATCGTGCGTGCAGCGCACGCACACACCTATTGGAATGCACATGAGCAATCACTTGAAGAATATTTGTTTTCAGGATCATTTCAAGTAAATAAAGTGGTTGCTTTTTTGAAAGAAGAAGGGTCTTGTGGAATTAAAGACTAAGGTGACCAGATAGCCAGTGTGAAAAATCAGGACCAGGGTTGGGAGTAACAGGCACATATATAAGATAAAATCGGGACATCTGGTCACCCTATTAGGCCTGGTCTACACTGGTGGGGGGGGGGAAAGGGGGGAATCGATTAAGATATGCAACTTCAGCTACGAGAAAAGCGTAGCCGAAGTTCACTTATCTTAGATCAACTTAGAATCACTTACTTCGTGTCCTCACAGCGCGGGATCAATGGCCGCCGCTCCCCCGTCAACTGCATTGCCACCTCTCGCCATGGTGGAGTTCCGGAATCAACAGCGGAGCAATCAGGGATCGATTTACACTAGACGCAATAAATCGATCCCTGATAGATCGATCACTACCCGCCGATCCAGCGGGTAGTGTAGACGTGGCCTTAGAGATTATATCAAAACGCACCATGTGGCAGAATTATGATTGCACATGCAACCATAATGTTGGCATTGTCTAACTTCTGATTACTTGATTATATTGTAAAACAGGCATGTCTATAAGCTGTTTTATTGTTTTCAAAATGTTTTTTTCACAATATTTTATGTTCTGAAGGCTGACTGGTTAACCATTTTGTGAATTTTCAATCACTTCCTCTCCCCCACCCACCTTTGTAATTTGAGAAGTTTTGACCTATTCTAGTTTACTCCTGGGGGAATTCTGCGCCACTGCATATGCGCAGAATTATTTGCTTCCCTGCAGAAAAATTACTTTCTGACAGGGAAGCAAAGGGAAGCCGTGCAGTCTGTGGCCTGTGCTCCCCATCGCCATGCTGGAGCCTCCACATTTATTTATTGACAAAATTTGCAGAATTTTAAAATACTGTATGCAGATTTTTTTTTTTGGGTGCAGAATTTTTAAATTTTTTGTGCAGAATTCTCTCAGGAGTACTAGTCTAGTTATAAGTAATTGAAAACAGTTAAAATTGGATGCGTTAGGCAACCTAAATATTGAGATTCCTACCCCTCCACCATGATAGACTGCAAATTCTAGTTCTAAAAGACTCACCTCTGGAGTTAAGTGGACTTCCACGGGTGTGTACGTTGGCCAATATCCCATAGTAAGTATATTTACCGTCAGGTCTATATTGCCTGGATCACTTTGGTTCTGCATATACTAAAATAAAATTAAATTAAAAAAACCCAAACCTGTTAAAAACCCTGCTAACACAATAAATTAAAAATAAACGTAGAAAAGTATATCAATAAATGGCTTCTGCTAATTACTATCTGGAATACTGTTTTTTTTAAAAAGCAAACAAACAGTGAATTAGTTTTGGCACAATGAATTCCGGCAATTTATTAAAACACCCGAAGAGCTGACTATAAACCAAAGTTGAATTTATAAAGCATTTCTCATTGGAGCACTGCGCAATATAAAAATCTGTGATCAAAAACAATTAACTCCTACAGCTAATATAGGCGCTCTTAATTTTTTTAAAATACTGATTCCAGCTGGAAATTATGGACAGAGTCAGGAAGTTTTCTAGAGGTGATGTCCACAGTTGGAAAATGCTCTTGGCTCCCACTGTCTAAAAGTCGTGCAAAGGCACACTACATACCTAGGCAATTCGGAACATAGTGAATGGTTGGGAACAAAACAGACAAGATGATTATCAATTAGGTCTATTAGATCTGTTCTTCTAAAGGACTTCAAAGTCAAAAGAATTTTAAAGATTCCATAAAAAACATTTAAGGGATGTTAAGAAGACACACGGTGGTACATTTTGAAAGAAATGCAGTCTAGACAGCACTTGGGCTGGGCATCCAGAGAACATAACAGCAACAATCCAGTCTGTATGGCACAAGAACATTCATCACCAGATCATTCATTCTGAACTAGTCACAGCCTGGCAATAATTCTCACATGATAAAATGGAGTCTTAAAATCAATTTTAGAGATGGGTCTAATAATAAATTTAGTGGCAACACTACATTCAGGCTTTATTATTAAGAGTCAAAAAGAAAATCAAATGAAACTATAGGGTCAAATAACATCCCAGCAGATTCGCTGAACTATAAATAATCTGTGGAAAATCTGTTTTGTCACGGTTTAATTTAATACAATTATGTGACATCATCCTAGCTAGTGTAAATATACCATGCATAAGTATAAGAAGTTAAATTTACCTGCTTAAACTGAATCATGACATCTTTTGAAAGTTCCATATCCTTGAACATTCCCTCCAGTTTACTGGTGAAAGCAGCACCACATTCTGTCACATAAATTAAAGCAAAGTTTCCATGATTGCAATAAACATAAAACAAGTAATAAAAGCTTAAGCCTAATGTTGGGCTGGTGTGACGGTCCTTGGGATGCAAATCCAGATAAGCCGAGGCTCCTGCCTTTTCAGCTTCTTATTCATCTTTACACTTTCCTTTGTTCCACTTCCTTTACCCGAAACAAACAGAAAATAATAAAATTGTGAACTTTCTTTAATTGTTCGCAGCCTTTTCACTTGAAAATCACGTCAAACTATTTTACCAGTGCTTGAAGTGTAAACCTCAGTTAAAATAGCAAGCTGTGTGCAAAACCGGCATAACTATACCAGTGTGACAGGGTTCACCCCAACACACTGCCAGTCCCAAATTTTCCCCAAACTATGTGCTCTGTAATGTCCAGCCCGCTCCTGGACAGATCAGAGAAATTATAAGGTTAGTCTGTTCTCTAAAGTCCCAAAAGCACAGCACAGCTTAATGTCACAGATTTCCAAAAAGAACTCCACTCCCATTTATACACCTAAATTAAACTTGTACATTTCCTCGAGTACATAGCAATCAGCAGTTCCTACTCTGAACAGTGGGAGCCGTAGGGTGCTCAGCTCTTTTGAAAATCTGGCCCAGTCACTTTAACAAATAAAAATAAAGGTTCAGGTTTAAAAACTAAAAGAAGCAAAAAATTCAACATTTGCAGCTGCTCACCATGTTTAAGCTTTGACAGCATTGACTTCTCAGCATCTACGGATGCACTTTTTCCAACCAGCAGTCTTTTGGCCAAATCTTTTTTATAAAATGCCTCAAACACATCTTTACCTGTATGGAGAGAAAACAAAAAAACCTGAGAAATCAAACATTACACCTTTACTACTTATCTTCAATTATACAGAAGTGTCCTTTCTCTTGACTTGCTGAAAAGTGGAACACAGTTACATATCTGTACAGTAACTGTTCAAGATGTGCTGTGCACATATATGTTTCACTAGAGTTGTCAGTGCTCCCAATGCACTTGAGTTGTAGATTTTTGCCTGCACTAGGCTGCTCATATGCCCCCTGCTCTCCTCATGCACCTAGCCAAGGGTTATTGCCATCTCCCTCTCTGTTCCTGCATACCACAGTCTAACATCCGAAGCAGTGGGGAAAGTAGGAGAGATTATGGAAGGTATATGTGCACAGCACATCTCAAAGAATAACAATTACCATACAGGTAAAGTACACACTTTCTCTCCTTCGAGTGATTGTGTGCATATACATTCCACTTTGGATTATCTGAACAAGAGATCACAACACTGATTTACCAAAGTTGGCGTAATCTCACAAAGCTTGAGAAAGAGAGCCGTACGTGGAGAAGGTATGTAAAGGTGACCACATTGCTGCCTTGCAGATGTCTAGGAATATTGCTCAGGAAGGTAATCAAAAGGTAAGATAGAAAAGTCATTCTGTATTGCTGAGAAGAAGTGAAGTGGATTCTTACTGAACTAACTGAAAGGCCAGATGATTTCAAATGCAGTAGGTAGTCCAGTATGAATGTAATCTTTATTTAATGAGGAAATAATGGTGGGATGGCACCCAGATCAAAAACTTCTTCCATTTTGCGGCATATGTGGCCCTGGTGGAGTCCTTTCTGCTACTCACCAAGATGGCTTGGACTTCTCAGGACCATAATCTCTCACACATATTCAACCAGAAATTATCCATGCAGTCAGGTAGAGAGATTTACGGTTAGGATTCAGAGACCTGTCCAAGTTTTGACATAGGAGATCCTGGACCAGGGTAAAATTATCAGTGGCCTGATAGATAGCTGATGTAGGTCCATGAACCAATATGGTCACAGCCAAGCTGGTGCCACAAGGATTTATGTTGCCTGGTCTCTTTTCATCTTCCTGGAGTACTCTTGGAATGTGAGGAACTGAGGGGAATGCATAGAGCAGATGACTGAACCAGGGAAGAAGAAAAGCATCCAGCAAGGAACTTGGGCTGCAGCCCACTCTGAAGCAAAATCCCCTGCATCTGTTGTTGAGGTTGGTCACAAATAAGTTTATTACTAGGTACCCACACTATTGGAAGATCTGGAGAAGAACATCCTTCCTGACTGACCACTTGTGTTGCTCAAGTTCCTACTGAAGGAATCCACAATAGTGTTCCTCAACTCTGGAATGTAAAGCATTTAGCAAGACCGTGTTTCTTATACAGAGATTCCACAGGCAATTTGCTTGTTAGAGCAACTGAGATAACCCTGCAGCCCCTTGCTTGTTCAGATAAAACATAGTAGTGGTATTGTCCATCAGAACTTAAACCAACTGGTTCCTGATGGTGGATACAAACGTCTTGCAGGCTTGATGAATAGCACAGAGCTAACACTTTTATGTGGAGTGAGACCTCCTGAGGTTACCAAAGAACTTGTGCCTGGAGTTGACCGAGATGACCCTCCCAGCCTTTGGTGGATGCATCTGTTACCAGAGTCATAGTCTGTTCTGGTGGCAAAAAGAGAACCCCATTTAAGACGTTCAGAGGGTCCATCCAGTAGTCCAGGGACTGAAGCTCTTATGCAGGTACGCAAATCAACAAGTGAATGCCACTCAGTCAGTATGCTGAGGAAAGCCAGGCTTGCAGACAGTGGAGGTGAGATCTGGCAATGCAGAATCACATATGTGCATGAGGCCACATACCCCAATAGTTGTAAGCAGAAATAAACTTGTCTTTGAGTTGGATGTGAGATTTTAGGACCAAAAAACTATGGACTGAATCCTGTCCTCAGGAAGGTAACCCACAGTGGTTATGGCGTCAAGTACTGCCCCTATGAAAAGTTATTCACTGTGTGGTTATAACTTCAATTTGTCTATATTAAATTTCAGGCCTGGACCAGAGAGCAGTGGTCTGATGACAAAGATACTGCGTTGGACATGGGTACTTGATCTTCCCCGAACTAGCCAATTGTCCAGGTAAGGAAATATCTGAACATCTACGCAGTGCAGGGGGGCTACCACCGCTATCATGCACTTGGCAAAGATTCTTGGGGTCGAAGATAACACAAAGGGAAGCGACGTGTAAAGGCAGTTGTTGTTGCTTGCTATGAACCGAAGAATCTTTTTGTGGCCAGGATGTATTGCCACATGAAAGTAAGCATCATGCAAATCAAGGGCAGTATACCAATCTCTAGGGAAGGGATAACAGAAGCAAGGGTGACCATCCTGAACTTGATCTTACTGATGAAGCGGTTTAGTTTTCTGAGGTCTAGAATGGGACAAAGACCACAAGATTTGGGGGGAATCAGGAAGTACTGGAAATAGAAACCTTATACTGGTAAGGAACTTCCTCTCTGCTCCCAGCTCCAAAAAGACTGCACTTCCGGAATCAATAGAGTCTTGTGAAATGGGTCCTTAAAAAACAGGGAAGGTGGACTAGGGAAGAGGAAGGAGCTGAACTGGGTGAAGTATTCCTCTTTTACAGCTGTACACCCACTTGTATGATGTGATCTGCTTCCAAGCACTGTGAGAGAGAGAGAGAGAGAGAGAGAGAGCACACGCGCTGGTATCCAAAGGGAGGGAGGAGAGATATAGTTGGTGTACCGTCCTCAATGGAGTAGTCAAAACAACTGCTTCAAAGCTGCAGTGGTCTGGTGAGAAAGGCCTATCATTGATGAATGCAACTGATGACATTTCTAGGAGGTTTAAACCTTCTGTGACAAAGCTCTGCCCTTGTCTCAGTGGGTCCCGCACTTCCTGGCAGATTTCGCTAGCCTCAGAGGCTCACTGTGACCCTCCACGTAGCCCTTCTCTCTCTAGAGGCAAGGGTCACAGCCTACTGAGCCATTTTCATCATAAGCTAGCAAGGGAGGTGAGGAGAAGCCACCCTCCCTTGCACCGTCTTTGTGGTCTCTCAGCCTCAGTGATTAATTGGGGAGGGGAGGAGAGGGGGGAGCCTGGGCCCACCCTCTACTCCGGGCTTCTACCCAGGGACCCTAATAGTAGCAGCTATGGTAGCTGACTTTTTGGAAATAGAATGTGTACAATTCCCTGGGCCACCTCCCCACAACAGCCCCCACTCAATAGCCCCTTCACCGTTACCTCAGGGCTTCCTTCCTTGCACCTGATAGAGTTTGTACTGCTTAGTTTCTCCAACAGCGTGGCTTCCTCCTACAGCTTCTGACACATGCACCCAACTGACTAACTGGAAGGCTTTTAACTAGTTTCAGCCAGCCCCTAATTGGCTTCAGGTGTCCCAATCAACCTAGCATTCTCCCTGCCTTCTGGAGAAATCTTAATTGGCCCCAGGTGTCTGAATTGACCTGGCACAGCTGCCGTTTACTTATCCTGGTAACAGGGATTTGTTTAGCCTGGGACTAATATATCTGTCTCCCACTACTTTTCTATAGCCATCTGGCCTTGCCCCATCACACTTCCTTTGGAAGTATCCTGAGACATCTGCTAAGAGGTCCTGTAGTATGACTGAGGTTTAAATGGTTTCCTCTTTGTTACTGGGGTGTAAACCCCCAACGACTGGAGGGTCACTCAGGGATTGAGGAAAAGGAAAAGGATTAGCCACTATTCGCTGGGCTCCCACATACTCTATCTAGGAGAAAAACCACAAGGAGAGAAAAATCCTATGAGTGACCCTCCCAGCTTCCTGGTCAGAGGCCACATTTATCCTTTGGTCTTTGTGCAGAACTCCCACTGACATCAGTCTCTACTTTTGTAGTCCCAGTTTATAGATTCAAACATGTAACAAGTTTGTCACTGCTGTATTAAATCAATTATCAATTCTAGCAGTAGCACTGAAGATCATATTTTAAATCACATCAATTTTAAACCCTTCTTACACCTTAAACATTTCTTACCATGAATGAATCTGAATATTATCATGATTTTGTCAAGGATTCTTTCCAGCTCTTCATCTGTTGCTTCTTTATTTCCAGCTCTTAACTTTGAATCCACATGTTTTGCTACAAATAAATAAAAAAATTGAGGCACTTAAAATAAAAATCCCTCTAAAATTACTGTAATGTTTCCATTTCTAATATTACTAGATATTAAAACATTGGTGAAATTCAAAACGTTCTGTTTTGTAATCAGTTTTCCCTCCTCCAAAGTCAGTGGAATTATACTCAAGTATTACGTTATTAGTGGAAAAGGAACTGACCAAGATAAAGATTAATACAACAAATAAGCTTTAAAATTAATGTACTAAAACACTAGAATCTTCATGTTACGTTCACTACAAGAATATTACTTGTTGATAGACAATGTTTTGGAATTATGCAATGCATATGAATGTATTATATGAACAACAAAAATAAACACACAGATGACTATTTTTGTAGACCTTTACCATGCCCTCTGGCTCTCACCAAAACTTAAACAGAAGCGATGCTTTCAAGTTAGTAGCTTGATAATGGTAGAAAAAAATACAATTATGCCATGAATTTTAATTAAAGGGATAGAAAGCCGTATGAATATCCCTACTCTGGGTCTTACTAGGTTACGTGTCAGTGGGATGAGAAGGAAGCCATTGTAACAGCTGAGGATACAGTACCCACAAGTGGCAATAAGCCCATATCACTGCTTTGCACATGTCAAATAGTATTCAGTCACCTTTCCTACAAAAGGGTATTTTTTAGAAAGCCATTTTTCAAGTTAGCAGCCAAAAGCAAAAGAATATGATAAGGACAGAAACTAAGAGGCAGATCCTCAGCTAATGTAAATTGTAGTAGCTCCACTGACTTCAAACTCCGAGCTATGATAATTTACACCACCTGTGGATCTGTCCCCATATTACTTATTCTGAAACATTTTAAATATTCTTTGTGTAATGTACACTAAATGATTAAGCTTTCCTTTCCTGACTTCTGAGGTCCTGAACAATTTTCTTCTTTACAATTCAGTCTTCCTTTAACTGAATGTTATTAAAATGGGGTGTTCTCCTGAGTTTAGTTTAGGGGAAAAACAACCAGCCAACCAAAACACCCCACTACTTCTTCCTTCTTAGGCATGTTTTTCTTAGCATTGACCGTCAGACTGTATGGAAAACTGAGGTTTTAACACCAGTATAAGCCTCATCCATAAGACATACCCACTATTCTATTCTGAAGAAATAGTTAAATTTCTTTTTCTAATAGCTACTCTTCCCCCTTAGCAACTTACTCTGCTTTAGGAAGTTAGCCATATGGGTTTTTAAGCAACTGTCCTCATCAGTCACCGTGTAAGCAAATAGGGGTGCAGCAATAGCAGGAATTAACATGCTCCTTCACGTGACTGAGCATACACCTGACAAACACATCCAGACTTTTACCTGGATCCCATGACATATCCAGACTAATTTTTGCCTGGTATCCCAAAAGCAATTCTTCCAGTGGGCTATGCATTGCATTGCAATTATACTAGCATACTCAGTATGCTTGATATTATTATGCTTTCTAGAGGTTTTAAAAATATTTTACAGAAAAGTATTTTGTACCTATCAATTCTGCAGGCTTATTTGGTCTCTTGTTGATAAATGTTTCAAAGGATTCCTTCATCAAGTTTATAAATTTCTCATTTTTCTGAAAGCACGCTTCTATGATATGGTCCACTTTATCCTTAAAATCTAGTAGCTCTTGCACCATATCCTTGTCCTTTTCAGGATTAACCACTATAGTTGTCCCAAAGTTCTGTAAAAACAAACACTTTTGATAATCAAATACTTCATTGCTACCTATCTCCCCCCACAGACACATACACCCTTATGAAATTTAGCAATTGGAAAAATTTATCATAGAGGTGCTTAACAATAATTGAAATCTTAAAGCTGTTCAAAAATGATGAGATGCATTGAAATTTAAACACAAAACCAAAAAAATCCAAACACACATTAATGGATTTCAAACAGCAATGTTTGAGAGATCACTTACATTTAAAACAGAAGCTAAACAAAAATTAAGTATTAGACATGGTTGTACACACACAAGTTTACAGTTAAATACATGATTTATATAAAAGAGTACGTGGAAAAGTGTAGTAAGAATGTTCAGCATAATGAAAAACTTTGCATGACTTTTTTTTAAACCCACTGAACTGTTTATTTGCAGAAATAACTGGATATGATTTAGCTGCTTCTGGTCACTCCAGGATTCTAATGTCAACAAGGGCTACAAAAGTGGAAAAACAGCCATCACAAGGTTTGGTTGTGGAGGGGAAGCTATTGACTTGTAAAGACAAAATTCTTGCTTTATCATCTTTTAATCTTATCTTGTTTCTACTTATGCCCAGCTCTCCAATGGAATTGTAACACTATTTGTCTACTGAATCAGACAGTCTACACAACAGTGTTTGATTGACCTGCTATTTAAGATGGCTTAAGAATATTAGTATCCGATATTTGTTACAAGGAGAGTGACCAGATTTCCATAGTGAAAAACTGGGACAACCGCACAGAGGCAGCATATTTTTCCATTCGCTTCTATCTTAGCCACTGTAACAGCTGAAAAACCAAAAAAGGCAAGACAATTCAGACTTCCCTCTTAACATTTAACTAGCCAGAGCAATAATTCATAGATATGATACTTGATGCACTGCCTGGATCCTGCCTGAATCCAACCCCTGGCTCCTAATGTCTACATACTCATATGGCCCCCATTACTATAGTATCTGAGCAATTTACAATCCTTAATGTACTTATCCGCACAACACCCAAAGTGGCAGAGAAGTACCATCCCCATTTTATAGATGGGGATCTGAGACACAGAGAGGCTAAGTAACTTGCCCAAGGTCAGAGAGGGTCTATGGCAGAGCAGGGATTTGATCCCAGGTGCCTTAATTTGCCCTATATGCTCTCATACCCCAAGGACTCACCCTCTCCAAAGTTGTCAAACCTTCCCAGTGACCTGACCCCTCCCCCACCTATTCACCAGCGCTTCTGACCAGTTTCCTCCTGGTGTTCGTGGCTCCCTGAACTCCACCTCCAGAAGTCCTCAAAACTGGGAAATGTACAAGTTAATTAAAACTTGACCAGAAAAGGGAGTCTAGTCCTAAAATCTGGGATGTATCAACTTTTCAGGGGCATCAGGTCCTATTTACATAGGATTTTCTCTCACTATATCTTGGACTACACAGTCTCAAATGCCCATCAGTCTCTCTTTTATCTCGGAAGCAGTAGTTGAGTGGTTACAACCAATGATATGACTAGCATTTGGGAAACCAAGCATATAATGTTTCTGATGTGCCTCCCGTAATACTACCTCACAACGTAAGACACATGATTCCAGGAGTTTCACTGCAATGTTTTCTTATCATACAGTCAGCCCCCGCTTAAGGTTACAATTTGAAAGCATCTCCATGTGTGCTAGACTGCAAGTTCTTCAGGATGAGTAAACTGTTGTATGTTTGTACAATGTCTAGCACAATGGAGATGAGACCTCTAAGTGCCACCAGAATAGATTTTTGAGAGAGAATTCTTCTCACTTTCAAAATAATAATTAAAAAAAAAACCTTTAGCCGGTTAACTGTTATAACAAGCAGCAGTTATTTATAGCATAACAAATCTGCAGTGCTGCTGGAAGTATCAGCCGAGATCTGATGTTCCAGTAGTTTCAAAGGAGTGTGACTGGAGTGCCAGGAGGAAATGAGAACTATTTATTTTGAACCAAACGTAGCCAACTATCCTGCCCAACATCTTCTCAAATCATATGCAGTTCTGATTTTAAAAAACCTGTTTGCACTGTTCAGTCCTGTAAAGTAAACAGTTCCTAAATATGATTTTAAATCGAAATGTGTATTCACTGTGGTTTCTCATCACATGAGCTTTCAGAATATTGCTGAACAAAATGGGTGCCGTAACAAAACAAATAAAAAACCCACATACCTGCTTAAAATATAATTTTCATGAATCAGTTGAGTGTTTTATTGCTTCTCATTACTTGTTTTTAAAAGCCAAGCAGTCACTCCACTGTGAACAGCATAAATATGAGGACAGTAAGATGCAATAAAGTTTGAAATACCTTGATGTATTCACTCCAGTTTTGCAACAGGATCTGCTGCCCACCTTTTACCCGGCTGAAGAGCTGGTATGTCTGGGTGAGATCTGATATTCTGTTTTCATCAAGCAGATTATCAAGTCCTAAAATAAGAATAAACCAACTTTAATGTAGTGATATATATGCAGTTAAAGACAGAATAGAGGGTATGTGGGGCTCTATGAAATAATCAATACAATTATAACATTATGGCAGCTACAGTTTCTTTTGTAAAGAAGAATTATGCTCAGTACTGACAAGTGTCTATGGACTAGATCCAGAAAGGGATTTAGGCACCTGCCACTTTAGGCAGCAAAGTCCAAAATCTAGATTCTCAGAACACTCCATTCAGTTGACACCTAACTCTGCGCACATCTAAATGCCCTAGGTGCCTATGTTTCCACTGATAAAGTCCCCATAGGGCCTAAATTTCTGCAGATGGACATCAATAGAGCTAAGTCCTGATGCCCAAAACTAGCTCACACCTAAGTCCCAGCAGGATTAATAATATAGGCATTCCCCTGCCTATCTCACCTGTGAGGTCCAACACTGCAGGGGAAGAGAGGGAGAGGTGTTGGTGCCCCCCTTATGCCCTGTAGCCCAGTGGGTAAAGCACTCAGCCAGGATGTGGGACACCAGGATTCAAAACCCCACTTTGTCTGATTTGGAGCAGGGACTTGAATGATGGTCACCCACTTCCCAGGTGAGTGTCCTGATCACTGAGCTAAGGAGTATTGGGTGGGTGGGGATGGTAGCCCATAGGGCTAGCTTGAATTTATTATAAATCACTGTCTTGCCTTCATTATAGTCTGCCTTTATTCGATTCAGCAGTAATGCAAGGAACCTAACAGGCAGGGGTGCTGGAACAATTTGTATAGTGGGGGTGCTGAGAGTTATTGAACCAAACTGTAAACCCTGTATATAATGGAAACCACTTCAAGCCAGGGGGTATGGCAGCCCTCCCAGTACCCGTAGTTCCAGAACTTTTGCCCACAGGCCTGTATCCTGTAAGACACAGCAGTGAGCATAGTTAGCATAAATAAGGCTTGAGGCTTATGAACTTTGGCATAGATAAAAGGCCCAATGCAAAACCCCAAATATAGGGAAGCTGAAAATATAGTGTTTAAGGGGAATGTCCAACCACAGGAACATGGGTCCAACCACAAGAATGTCAAAGAGACAAATTGATGTACATAGCAGCAGCAGCAAATGAGCTACATCTGCAGATACCTAACCACAAGAGGCCCATGGCAACGAATTGACATATATGATAGTAAGTTGAGATCATTAATATACTAACATGTAGGAGAGGGACAATCCAACATTAGTAAGGTAAGGAAATACAAAAAAGGAACAGGGGAGAAACCCCTACTAAATATGCATCAGACAGTGGCATCAGCGTAACATATTACAAAAGTTGCATCCCAGCCTACGGGTAGTAGGAGAAAGCTGTAGCCTTTGGGATGTGCCAGAATGCTGGCCACTGGTGATGAGGGGGAAGGTGACCGTGATGAGGAAGATGATGGCTAACATTTCAGATTGTTCTGCAAGGGATGGTGTGAGTATATGGATGTGCAGATGTACATTCTATAGTGTCTCATCTACCTTACTGAGCTGCAGTGTTTGTGACTGTGCTAAATGTATTAATAAACCATTTGTAAAAATACAGAAAAGTTCCTATAGTGAGAGTGTTCCAACTGTACACATCGGGGTTGCCAACTATATACTAATTTGAATAATACTGGGCCTGATCTTTGGATAAGAACCTGTCAACCCTCAAAGTGATAACTGGGAGTTCTTAAGCAATCCATATAATTAATGCATAACATATAGATTAGGCTACAAGGTCTATCTCTCCTGTTGAAGCTGTTCTACTTCATATAATTAAATATTCATTAGGTGAGAGAGAGAGAGACTGGCTCTGTAGCCTAGTGGGGAGGGCACTGTCCTGGGATATGGGAAATTCAGGTTCCAATCCCTGCTTCAGTGAAGAGAAGGTTACTCACCCTGTGCACTAACTGAGGTTCTTGAAGATGGTTGTCCCTGTGGGTGCTCCACTTTAGGTGACTGCACGCACCTGCACTTGTAAAATCGGAGATTTGTAATAGCAGTGCCACCTCAGGTGGTTACATAGCACCGTGCGATCAACCCTCCTCAGTTCCCTCTCTACCACAGAGTCTCTGGTGTGAAAAAACTCCAAAGTAGAAGGGAGGAGGGAGGGTAGTGGAGCACCCACAGGGACAACCATCTTGAAGAACCTCAGTTATTGAAAAGAGTGAGTAACCTCTTCTTCTTCGAAGCGTCTAATGATGAATGCTGTTCTATGGCATAATGAGTGTCCCCATGGGTACTCCACTTTAGGGGACTGTAGAGCAGTGCCTCTCAGTGGAAGGGAGGGCCTTCGGAGTTGTAGTCATGGCAGATGATAAAATTAAGTCCGAATAAAGCAATCTAATGATGAATGCTGTTCTATGGCATAATGTTGTGTGAATATATGGGCAGGTGCCCACGTTGCTGCTTTGCAGATGTCCATAATGTGGACATTGTTGAAGAGGGCTATCGAGGCAGATGGTGCTCTAGTCAAATGTGTACGGGTCCCCTGTGGGGGTTGCAGCTGCTGTTGAGGACAAAAGTCAGTGCAGCTGGAGATCCACATAGACAGTCTCTGTTTAGAGATGGCGTCTCCCTTATATTGTTCTGTGACGGAAAGAAATAATTTTGGTGATTTTCTGAAAGCCTTGGTTCTTTCCATATAAAAAGCTAGTACCCTTTGGACATTCAGAGTGGGGAGCACTGCTTCTCATTTATTCTCCTGGGGTTTTGGAAAGAACGATGGGAGATGAATGGGCTGATTCAGATTGAATGAGGATGCAACTTTTAGTAAGAACTTGGGATGTGGTCTTAAAATAAATTTGTTTTTGAAAAATGTTGTGTGGGGCAGGGTATGCCATGAGAGCCCCCTGCTTCCCCACTTTTCTGGCAGATGTGACAGCGACGAGGAAGGCCACCTTCATCAAGAAGCAGAGAAGTGAACATGTCGCTAGTGGTTCAAAGGGGGTCCCAGCAAGGGTTCGTAATATCAGATTGTGGTCCTATGATGGGAGTAGAGGCTCATATTTCGGGGTAAAGTTTACAAAGGCCCTTGAGAAAATGCATGGTGGTCAGGTGAGCGAAGATCAAGAACTCATCCACCTTGTAGTGAAATGCTGTGATTGCTGCGAGGTGTACTCTGACTGAGCTCATGGAAAGACCCGATTTCTTAAGTTCCTATACCCAGTCCAGTACCAGTGGTAGACAAGAGGAAACTGCCATGACTTGTCTATTTTGGCCCCATGTATTGAATTGCCTCCATTTGTGCAGGTATATATGTCGTGTAGTTGGTCTATAACTGTTTAACTTACTTCACCTGAACAGGTTTCAGAGTAGCAGCCATGTTAGTCTGTATCCGCAAAAAGAAGAGGAGGACTTGTGGCACCTTAGAGACTAACAAATTTATTTAAGCATAAGCTTTCGTGAACTACAGCTCACATCATCGGATGCATTCAGTAGAAAAAAGTTTACAAAGGCCCTTGAGAAAAATGCATGGTGGTCGGGTGAGCGAAGATCGAGAACTCATCCACCTTGTGGTGAAATGCTGTGATTGCACTGAATGCATCCGATGAAGTGAGCTGTAGCTCATGAAAGCTTATGCTCAAATAAATTGGTTAGTCTCTAAGGTGCCACAAGTCCTCCTTTTCTTTCATCTGAACAGGTCACTTTGGTTTCTCAGAGCCATGGAGTAGCCACACCTTGAGGTGAAGTCTTGCCAGGTTTGGGCAGTGGACCTGAACTGCATCCTGAGAAAGGAGATGTGGCAGAAAAGGAAAAGTGCGTGGTGGGCACACAGCCATCTTTAGAAGGTAAGGAAACCACATTTGTCTGGGCCACATGGGGGCTATGAAGACAACTCTGGAGTTGTCTGTCCTGATCTCGTGTATGACCCAGGATAGAAGAAGGGTCAGAGAAAAGATGTACAATAGAGGTGCATCCCATTTGAGGAGAAAAGCATCACCCAGAGAAGAGGGTCCCAATCTCGCTCTGGAGTAGTAGTGTAGGCACTTGGCATTTTCGGTTGTCGCAAAAAGGTCTATAGTTGGGAACCCCCATTGTTTGAACATGCTCTGTAGTACTCCAGCATTCATTTCTTACACATGGTTCTGGGAAAATTTTCTGCTTAGTGCATCTACAATGGTGTTTTGGCATCCTGGTAGGTAGGAGGCAGAGATAATGATGATGTGGCTAATGCACCAATTCCATACTTCTATGGCTTCTGTGCATAGGGAGTATGACCGTGCCCCCTCTTGTCGGTTTATATAAAATATGCAAGCAATATTTCTGAGAGAATCTTTATGGCTCTGTCCTTGATCATGGGTAGGAAGTGAGAGCATACACTGTGAACTGCCCGTAGTTCCAGTAGGTTTATGTGTAGAGTGAATTCCAATGGGGACCAGCGGCCTTGGACCCTGTGATTGCGCAGGTGTGCCCCCAAACTAGCAGGGAAGCATCCGTTGTGATTATCATTGCTGGAAGGTTCTGTGCAAAGGGGACTCCTGCGCAAACATTGTTGGGTTGTGTCCACCAATGTAGAGAGGTGTTTTTTTTTTTTTTTTTACTTTGGTTGGCATCACGAGACAAATGTTTATACTGTGTTTGTGTGGAACACACACAGTTCGGCGTCAGCCTTGCAGGCATCGCATGTGCAGCCTGGTATATTTGATGATAAACATTGTTGCAAACATGTGGCCTAACAGTTGGAGGCAAGTCCTGGCCAATGTCTGGGGACTGGTTAGTGTCGTGGAGATTAGAATTAATAAAAAGTTGTAAATAACTATCAGGGTAGCAAGGCTGTTCAAAATCACCTTGACGAATTGGTCCTTCAGCCCTCATATAGATTGCACTGATCACGACACGTCTTCCATTCTTCTTTTATCCTGGTCTTTCTTCTCTATGTGCAGCCATGCCTTTTCACAATAAAATCTTCCCACCTCTTTGGAGGTCGGCCGAGTGGTGGTTTCAGTTCCCATGGGACTGCTACAGTCCACTGATTGTCAGTGAACTTAGCTATATGCCCAGCCCATTTCATTTTACCGCACTTGCTTTCAACAGTAACGTCTTGCACCCCACTCTGCTGTCTGATCACTTCATTGAGGACTCTGTCGTGGATTGAAATCCCCAGAATCCTTCTTTCCATCACCCTCTCTGTGACAGCCAGTTGTTGCTCCTCTATCTTTGTCAGAGCCCATGTTTTACTGCCGTACAACACTGCCGGCAGTATTGTTGAGTTGAAGAGGTTGGCGTGTGTTGCCTTATTGATATTTCCTTGGAGGACATCCTTGACAGAACTGAATGAACGCCAAATCAGCTTTCTTTCTTTGTGAGAGTTCGGCTTCCTGATCGTGGCGCATGTTAATTTCTTGACCCCAAACAGATGTATTACTCAACTTCTTCTATTTGTTCTCCCTTGACTATTATTTGAGCTTTTGGCAAGGCATCAGACTGCATAAATTTTGTTTTAGAGCGGTTCATTTTCAGTTCAACTTGGCTGCTTTTTGTGTTGACTTCTCGTAGCATTTTCTGTAGTTTGATAGTGTTTTTGGCAATCAACACAATATCATCCACAAATCTGAGGTGGTTTAACTGCTCTCTGTTGACACTGATTCCACCCTTCCAGTTCATCCACCATCTTACCATTTTGAGGCAGGATGTGAAGAGTTTTGGTGAAACTGTGTGTGACATTACACCCCATATTACATTACACCCCATAGGGGGGAGGGATAGCTCAGTGGTTTGAGCCTTGGCCTGCTAGACCCAGGGTTTTGAGTTCAATCCTTGAGGGGACCATTTAAGGATCTAGGCCAAAAATTGGGGATTTGTCCTGCTTTGAGCAGGGGGTTGGACTAGATGAGACTCCCGAGGTCCCTTCCAACCCTAACCTTCTATGATTCTATGATATTCTTCATAGAAATATTGTTGTGATATGAATATGGCATAACTAAGGTATGTTTTATGCAAGATGGGACATGTAAGGTATCACTGGAAAGTTTATGATTTACTGAATGTGATTATCCAATTTGTATACATGTATCATTTCTGAATCTGAAGTTAGGAATATTGACTATGTAACAATTACAAGTGTGTGTCTATTTGGGAGAACATCCACCAGACAGTAGGTAAACATTAGGAAGAACAGTAAGACTTGAAAGATACTAATCTCCCGCCTTCCTGAGAAGCTCTCAGCATTGCTGCTTTGACACTACAGGGTCAGGTGATGGTGTCACTTGCTACTAGACCCCCCCCCCCCAACTTGGGCTTTCAGTGTTTTACCATTAAGAGGGAGCCGGAGGTGGGGGGGGGTGTCAGATTGGGAAATAAAAGATTGCCTTACTTCCCAGCCTTAAATAGAATTTACATAATGCGGGAATCAAAACTCTTCTCCATTGCCTCCCCAAGAAGGAAGATTGCTAAAAAGACCTGAAGGGAAAGGCAGGGGCTGAGTCCAGACTGAGGCAGAGGTCCAATCTGTAAAGATAAATAACTGGAACTCTAAGCTACAGAAACTCTGTAACCTGCCTAAAACAACATTTAGGGTGAGAAATTACATTTTGTAACCTGTTTGAGTGTATTAAGTTTAGTTTGTGTGTTTTGTTTTATTTGTTCAGTAATCGGCTTTGTTCTGTTTACTATTCCTTTAATTACTTAAAATTTACCTTTTGTAGTTAATAAATTTCTTTTTTGTTTATTACAAATCCCAGTTTGTACAATTCATACCCGGGAGAGCGAGGCAAAAAGCTGTGCATCTCTCTCTCCACATTGAGGGAGAGGATGAATTTTTATGAGCTTGCTCTGTGCAAATCTCGCTATACAGCCAAAACAATATTAATTTGGGTTTACACTCCAAAGGAGATGTGCACGTGACTGCTGAGTAAATCTCCGAGCTGAATCTTCCCACACAGAGCTGATTTCAGTCTGTGTCTGCAGCTGAGTGTGGCCTTACCTCTGTGTGTGCTAGAGAAGGCTTGAGGGCCTGGCACAGCTAGGACCGGGTGAGGAAACCCTGGCTAATGAAAAAGGCGGAACCAGTGGGACCCCAGCACATCAGGTGGCACCATGAAAGGGGTGTCCAACCCATCACACGTCTCCTTGCTTCACATCTGTTTTGACTGGGATGCAAAAGGCAGTGTCGAACAGTTATGTCTTCAGTGCAGTCAGAGTTTGCTTCCTTTAGTAGTTTGATGTAGTTTGTGTTGATGCCCTGCTCTGCAAGAGCTTTCATCACAGCACTGATCTCTACGCCGCTGAATGCTTTTTTATAGTCGACGAAGTATTCCCTTGAGTGCTCCAATAGCTGGTTTATAGTGAAGATGGGTCCACTGTGCTGAAATTCCTTCAAAAACCTGCCTGATCTCTCAGCTGCTGCGCATCCAGACTCAGAGTAGGTTTGTTATTATTTTGGTGATTGGCTTGTCGACATGTGACTTCAGTCATATTTGACAATAGTTCTTTAGATCTTCACAATCGCCCTTCTTGTACAGAAAAATGGTGTTGGATTCCTTCCAGCTAGGTGGTATCTTCTGCATTTCCAAATAATGACTAAACTTCTGAGCAAGGGTTTCCCAGAGACCTTGGTCTCCAGCTCTTATTTCGGTTATCAATCTGACTTTTCCTGGAGCTTTTCTGTCCTTCATTTGGTAAGCTGCATGTCGAACTTTGTACCCCCGGTCCTCATCAGCATACTCATTGGTCTGTTGAATTACTAGCAGTGGGACATTTATTTGAGACGTGAACAGTTTGGTGTAGAAATCTTTTCAGACCATTTCCATCCCTATTCTGTCAATTACTGCTTTGCGATCCTTGTTCTTCAGCATCGTCGTCGACCCGTACAGCCAGCGTCAGTTTCCGTTTGCATTTTTCTAGGCTTCTGCAATCTTCAGCCATATTTAAGAGCCTTTCATTTCGGTATGTAAAGTCCTTTAGTCTTATCAGCTTGCAGAGGAGGGAATACTCGAGTTTGTCACTATCATTTCACTTCATGTTCCTCCGCTTCTCTAGCATGTTCCTCATTTCCTCCAAGATTCTTCCCTTTGCTCTTTTCAGTCTCTCTTTCTCGCCTAATTTCACACATTGCTTCAGCTCATCAGCAAAGTTTTTATTGTCCTAGTCACAGTTGTCTGTGAGACTCCAGTCTTCCTTGGAAATGTTCGCTTTCAGGATTGCCTCGTCAAATATTTTCAGCTGCTGTCTCTGATTTGCCATTTGTAACATTTTCTTCTCCACCTTTTCATTGAAGTTGAGCCTCACTCTGAGCCAGGGGGAAGTAGTGATCATCGCTTCCTCAGAAAATAAACAAACTTGAATAATTTTGAATACTTTGTATAATTATATTTGGTCATTAGCGCCTCGTAGTTGGCAATCCTAAATTGTAGGGTCACCAACGAGTAGGCCTTACTGCCAAAACGATCTAGTTTCTTCCTGTCTCTATTGTATGGGGTAGTACTGGAATGATGCTGTCTGCCCCTTTCATTCATGGCCTTCACCACAAGGGAGTGAGGTGTGGGATGCAAAAACAAAAATCGCATTCCCTTAGAAGAACCATAATATTTGTATCCGTCCTTTTGCAGGTGGGTGGGACCATTGCTGGCGTCTGCCAGATGATTTTGGCCTGGTCCATGACAGCGCCATTAATTGGTAGGGCAATTTTGGAAGAAGTTGAAGTCTGCAGGATGTCCAGAAACATATGCTGGGATTTAGCCACTACTTCTAATGGTATGTCCAGGGAATCTGCCATCCTCTTAGAGAGTTCCTGGAACTGTTTGAAATCATCCCTTGTGGTGGGGGATGGGGATATGATGGCTTCATCCGG